GGAATTCTGTTTGTGGTTTCTCGTGTTGTGGTATTTTCTCCCTGGTGTGGCCTCCATGACCGCGGAGGTTATAGTAGCTGCAAAGGTGGAGTACTTAACCTGGGTGTCGGTATCTGGGTGTAAGATAGTTGCTTCGAGGGCATCTAAGTTGCAGGAGATGTTGGAGATGGCCTGTTGCCAATTTGTCTTAAGAGTATATATTTTGTGCGGTGCCCGGTGAATGATTCTGGGATTCGCTTTTTTGTGGAGTTCTAGTGTGATAGGGTAATGGTCACTACCCCATGAGTCCTTCCCAACGCACCAGTTGTACGCTGGGTAGGATCGGCTGTCTGTTATTGAGATATCTATAGCCGATTCCGTATTAAATTGTCTTGAGCGGAAGGTTGTATCTCCTTGGTTGATGACACAATTATCAGTACTTTCTATGGCGCGAAAAAGTTTATCTCCCTCAGAGCAAGCGCGAGGGCTGCCCCAGAGGGGGTGGTGGGCATTAAAATCCCCTGCTAATAGAAACCTATCGTGGAATTGGTTTAGGAAGCGCAGCCATTTATCGTTCGAAATGTGTTTATCGGGGGGCCTGTATCCAGTTGCCAATAGTAGCTTTCCCTCTACTAAGTGCAGGGTCAATGCGCATAGTTCAATGCTCCCGTCGCAGTCGTATAGGGCAGGTCGTTTCTCATATTTGAGAAAATTGTTAATGAAGATGGCAGTACCTCCTCCAGCACGATGCGTTCTGTCTTTGCGAATAACGTCGAATCCTTTTATATAGACTTTGTCCGTTTGTGTCAGCCAGGTTTCGTTTAATAGAATGATGTCAAACTGTTGTGCTCTAAATTGAAGTTCATGTAGCTTGTTTTTGAGACTTTGGCAATTCCATTGAAGTATTCGGAGCACGTTGGGGTTCTTGTCCATTTGAGAACTGAATATGTAAGTCGATTGCTTTCCATATTCTATTCCATAGAGCATTCGAGTTCGGGTCTGCTTTTAAGATCGATTCCAGTCTTTGTAGGTGAACAGAATGGATGTTGCTCATTGGCGAGTTGGTCTCAGCGAGGTAAGGAGTCGTGTGCGAAATACGGTCCTTGGCCGGCCGAGCTTGCACGGCTTCACTGTATTTGCGATTTTTCTGTTCAGGGGGCAAAGGGAATTTACTTGGAGTAGGAGAATGTCGCAATGGTGGGAAGTTGCTGAAAGTTATAGATGGTGAGTGGAACAAGGAATTATGTTGCATGTTGGAGAATTGTTTTTGTGCTATTGCAAAGGGTACATTTTCATGAGCCATAATTCTACAGATTTCTTTGGATTCCCTAAATTTGGGACATTGTCTGTTGAGGGTAGGATGGTCACCTTTGCAGTTAATGCACATCGGGGTTGTCGCACATGTTTCGCTTTCTGGGTGCTTGTCGTGGGCACAAGTCAGGCATTTCTCAATTGCTTTGCAAACTTTACTAATATGGCCGAATCTGCCGCATTTAAAGCACTGTCGAACCTGTGGGATGAAGGGTTCCAAGTCCAGTCTCGTTCGCCAAATATAAACGAATTTTGGTAATTGTGTACTTCTTACAACAACACTGACAGTGTGGGTGTCGGCCCATTCAGTGTGTCCATCCTTCTGTATTCGTCGCTTTAACCTGGATACTTCTGATACTTTCAGTCCGGGATTTGATTTGTTAAGTTCTTCCTTAATTTCCGCAACAGAGCAGTCTAGGGGGATGCCTCTAATGATGCCTTTCCTAAAAACTTTCATCCAAGGCAACCAAATCATCAAACCGTGTTGTTTCGGGTAGGGGGAGGTTAAAGCGTAGTTAGCAGTGTCTCGTGTATTGAAAGTGATTTCCCACGTGTTTCTCGTAAGAGGGGTCACTAAATCGTATTTTACGATAGATTTCTCTAGCATTCGACATACTTCGAGTGCCATTAGCGGTCTGGTATTATTTTCACGGTTTCCTCTGAGGTGGAGGACAAAGGGCCCTGCATCCTCTTTGGTGAAGGTGAGGGCTGCGGTTGCGTTATCGAAGCTGTTACCTGTTGTTGTGGCCGGCGGCGCAGCGATGTTGTCTGTAGTAGGCGGTTGTGGGTTTCCAACTGTCCGTTTCTTGTTTGATAGGGCATTGCTTGGTGGGCTCCTACTGCGTCGTCTCAGCTTTGTCTTCACCATCGTAGTTTCATCACAGTCCATCAAGTTTACGTCTTTATCCGGACCACTCATCTAGGGTGGGCCCTGGGCCGCAGAGCGGCAAGTAGAGGTTATGTTTTTGCTATAACTGTGTATTGGATGTATTCACTCTGATTAACGATTTACGACACAAATATCACAGTAAACCAATGACCACGTCACTTAAAACGTCGAACCGTAATAATAATTCGCAATGTAGAAGTTTCGTTCGGAGCTAACAATTTCGTTCCGCACAGTTCAAGCTTTAATCGTAGAATCTATTGACCTTGTTCACAGCATACCATATGATGCTGCCATCTATCGACAACAAAAGGTACTTTCCCATTATCCCATGTGTTGTTGGATTGGTTACTTATTAATGATCAAAAACTGCCTAATTGAGTGTGGCCCACCCTGTACTTTACATTTGTATCACAGTAAACAGTGCTAATTGTGGAAACTGCTGGTGAGGGCAAGAATCAGTGAAGTCCAATTTCATTGAACCATTATACCCTTAAAAAATGAAATAGGAATGACCAGAGATTTTTGAGACACCCATGTCTTTCCCTGAACTAGACTAAAAATACCCATCACCAACTTCTCCTTAAATGATTATTGATGTCACTCTCATTGGCTATTAAATCCTTAAATAAGACATCAGAGTTCAAGTATTTGGGAACAGGTGTAATGGATCAAAAATATGTTAACAAATAGAGTGGATTAAGTTTTATAAGTACTTGCAACAGTTAAGTTAATTGCTATCTCATGTCTAAAAACTAATTTTGCATGTTGTTTTGTATGGTGTGAAATTTGTCCTTTCGCATTAAGGGACTTTGGAAGAGGGTGCTGCGGAAAATATTTGCACATGAAAGGGAAGAAGTGACAGGAGTTTGAAGAAAACTGCACAGTGAGGAGCTTCATAATTTATACTCTTCATTAAATGTTATTAGGATGATCAAGTCAAGGGAAAATATGGTGGACAAGCATGTAGCAAACATGGAAGAGATGAGAGTGCATACAAAATTTTGGTCAAGGCCCTGAAGAGAAGAGGCCACTTGGAAGCCTTAGATATAGGTAGAAGAGTTATACTATAATGATCTTAAAGAAATAGGATGGAAGGCTGTGCAGTCATAGTTTGGCTGATGGGATCAGTGGTGGGCTGTTATGAACACAGGAGGAATCACTGGGTTCCATGAAAGGTGAAGAATTTTTTGAGTTATCGATTCACTCTTAGCTTCTCAAGGTCATTTCTTCTCCATAGAGTTAGGTAATTTGAGAGGAGAATATTTGGTCTAAGAGGAATGAAGAAACTGGAGGATGAGTGAAGTTACTTTCCGAGGTAGTGACATGTAGCATGCACTGGGGACTTGATAAACATACACAAAGTTTTACATGGGGAAATCACAAAATTTTAATTATCACCCAGAAGACAGAGAGACAGGTACAAGAAATTGTATGTGAGTTAGTCGTTCTCTACATATGCTCCCTGCAAGGCCACATTTTCCCCAATGATGCATTAGCTGCTGGATACCTTGATCATAGAAGGTCTCATTTTGACTGTTTAAGAAGTCCTCCACTGCGGAAATGACGTCATCATCGTCTTGGAATCTCTTACCATTAGGAAACGCAGCCATTTATCGTTCGAAATGTGTTTATCGGGGGGCCTGTATGCGGTTGCCAATAGTAGCTTCCCCTCTAGTAAGTGCAGGGTCAATGCGCATAGTTCAATACTCTNTTACCACAAAGTGGCTTCTTTAGCCATGGAAAGAGGAAGAAGTCGCTTGGTGCCAAGTCTGGTGAATATGGTGGATGGGGAGAACTTCATGTCCCAAACTGGCAGCAAGTGTCGTAGCATGAGCCGGTGCATTGTCATGAAGAAGTCACATACATTTTCCCAGCATTCCATGTCCCTTTTTCTTGATTTCTTCCTGTAATTTTCTCAGAAGGTTCCAGTAGTACTCACTAGTGATGGTGATGTCCTTTTTTGCATAGTCGGTCATGATGACACCCCGCTGATGCCAGAACATGCTCAACATCACCTTTCCTGATGACAGCTGAGATTTGGCCTTTTTTGTGGCAGCGAGTCTGCATGTTTCCACTACTTGCTCATTTCCTTTGTTTCAGGGTCATAATGATAGACCCAACATTCATCCATTATGATCAGGTGGTCGAAAAAGCAACCTTTTCGTCATGACACAACTGCAAAAGTTTCTTTGCTACAACCATCCATTGCTGGTTTCGAACTGGTGTCAACAGTCGTGGCTCCCCATGTGCAGCGACCTTTGTCACGTTTAAGTCGTCATGGATGAAGCCAAAAATCGACCCATGGCTAATGTGAACCTCATGAACAATAGCTTGAATAGTTATGTGCCTATCAGATGGAATCAAAGCTTTCCATCTGTGCCACAATTCCAGGTTCCTCAGCAAGAGATGTCATATGATGGTACATCTTCATGATACACAGCAGTCATCTGGTCATGGATCCTCCTGCCAGACTTCCCTTGCAAATGCAGGAACCATATCACAGCACAAGTCTCCACTTTCTCAACTGACATCACCATTTTGCTTCTGCCCCTTTCAGTGGCTTCCTCTGTCCTCGTGGTGCTGGAAAATTTGACTGTTCGGCAAGCTCAGGAAATGGGCTCTCTCCTATATAGAACAATATTTTAGAATTATGATGTTCTCATGTTGTTAATTAAAGCATTATGACTTCCCATCATACATGTCTATTGCTGCTCTGTATTTCTGATGTGGCTTGTAGTCATAGGATGTTGCTACATCTGTACATTCATCAGGTGCAACTTGTTTTGGAGAATTTTCCCATGTTTTAATTTTTATGTATCAGGGCAGCATAATGTAGAAGACAGCAACAGAATTGTGTGGTGCACTATCAACCCTGAGGAGCAGCGGAAGTGTCTGAACTTTGCACAGGCTGTTGAAAGGGACTGGAATCTGTTTGGATCTGCAGCAATGAGGCTAGAATGTAAACAGGTATGCTCTGTAACTTACACAGATTATTAAAATATTCCGGAATACTTAATTTTTGTGACCATCAGGTCACCCCCTTGACCCCATGTTTATCACATTGACGGTAGCTCCATTATATTGTTCCTGCACTCTTTAAAAAGGAAACAGAAGAGAGAAAACTCCACATACCAGAATTATTTCAGTACAGAAGTATAGAGAACTGTTCAGATAACATTTCATACCAGAACCATCACCAGTGGGATATCTCTGTTTCTAAAAAATGGTCTATAATTTTTTGGTACTGATTCCAATATGTATGTAATGTCGCATGTATCCTGGTAACGCAACAGTAAATAGTGGGTTCCTAATTTGATAACTCAGTTTACTGAATAATTTCACATGTAACTACAATTCATTATTACACTATCAAGATTGCTGTATCTATGACACACAAACAATTATAACACATCAACTATTGATCTGCCTTGCACGATGTCTTGCTGATGAATCCTTGACTCCTCCAGCTCACAGCTGCTTCTTATATAGACTTGGCATGGACCATGCACAGAAAACCTAGTTTTACTGTTGCATAAGGAACAGAAAAGGGACAGAAAACAAGTCACATGATTCCTAGCCAGCATCTTCATTGGTGTGCTGTTGCCTAGCAATGCACAATTACATTCCTCCCTGAGACACATCTTCCATTGTTACTTAACAATGCTCTGGCCATCCATGTTACAGTACTAAACATGTGAACTTATGCTATCAGTTGAAACATTCTCATTTCTGTTATTTTTTCTGCGTAATGATCCAAATCATTGTCTGCATTGTCAGTAACTTTCCTGGATGCACATTCAATTTATACTCCTTCCTCTTTGGGTCATCTTTTTTTAATTTCAGTGTTTCTGGTTTACATGTTATCATCTTACAGTACCAAATTAAGTCTTAGCTAACAGTGTTAACATTTTACAAAAAAAAAAGTGAATCTTTTTTATTTGTGTATTTTTTTATTGCTAGTGGGATCGGACTAAGTCCCTTGTACTGCGGTGACTTCTGGCCTATTGTACCAGCCCCAGTTGATAGGTGAGGGTGATTGTGGAGCAATTGGTAGAATGAAGATTGGCAAGGGAAACCAAAGTACTCAGAGAAAACCTTCCCCAGTGCCCCTTTGTCTACCACAAATCCCACTTGACCAAACACGGGCTGCCACGCTGGAAAGCCAGCGACTAACTGCTTGAGCTATGGCGCGGCCCTTTTTATTTATGTAATGAATGAATTAATTAATTAATAAATGTATGAGGGGTAGGCCTCCTCGGCTCTTGCACTGGGACCTGCAATGATCTGTTGTGCTTTTTTATTTATGTAACTTACATCCGATATGCACTGAACATGAGGACAGTAATAATGAAAATAATATTGATAGCCAAGGATTGTGCCTTGGGTTTCTCCCTTTTGCTTCATTCTGCGTCTGAGTGAATGCTAGTATGGCATTTATTCAGGAAGCTGATACAAGATTCGCATAACTCTAGTGTACTGACTTCATCGGTTCTGAAGGGTTCTGATAGTGTAGTGTTACATTTAGGATTACTGTATTTGTGGACTTTCTTTATCACCTAGCATTTTGAAAGAACACAATGTTTTGTCCCTTTGATTGAGATTAATTGTTTCTAACAGACCCAGCTAAGTAGGCACCTCCACACCCTTTTACCTGAAGGTGGAAACAGATCCAGTTTTGAAAATGATAATTTTGTTAGAATACCAAGTGTTGGACAACGGCCTGAAGATCAGTACTCTGTTATATTTTAGGGCTTCAACAAGGAAGATTGTATGACATATCTTGATGAAGAAAAGGCACATGTAACTAGTCTGGATGCTGGAGAAGTATTTGTTGCTGGGCGATACCACAGCCTCATTCCCATAATGCATGAAGTGTACAGTGGTATGTATTATTATGTCTGCAGTATTGAATAAGAACATATCATGTATGCATTACAGAGTGCTGTTTGGTTAAAACTGGTACCGTTATTGTGAATCCTTTAAAAGTGTGTACCTCTTCCTCCTCCATGCATTGAAATGTAATGTAACTGCTTACTTATGGTCATAGTTTATGGGAAATGTATGCAGACGAAAGTTGTTCTAATGGAGAAAGAGAATGATTATTGAGGTGCTGAGATGTAACACTAAACTAAAAGCCAACAGCACTCTTAGCTGCCTCTTACTGGTTTGTACTTTGTGGTATTAATAGTAATGTTAATGTTTTGTAACTGAATCATTTTAACTTAATACTGTGAACAGTTATATCAGTGCACATTGATAGTATAAGTTTCTGTTGGTCTGGTATAAAGAATGTGTAATAATCAAAATAGTGTTACTGGTAGTGACATTTGAGCACCCAACATTTCAAAACTAAAACTCTCCCTTACATATTACAGTCAACTCTCGATTATCTTGGGGCAGATTAACCGGTTTGCGGTTTAACCGGGGCTACTGAGGCTTTTTGAGGCTTATATGTTGTTTAATATTCATTCACTTTTGTTTCACATGGTGAGTTGTAACACTATTTTTGCACTAGCGTGAACCGAGCTCTGCATTCTTTGGGCCCGTTATGTTAACACAATGTTCTAGGGTAGGGGTGAAAGAATGCAAGGATTTGTGGAAAGTTTCAAGGACAGATACACCGCCCCAGTTGGTCTCTTTGTATCGGTGTTCAAGTGCGTTAGCAAAATGTCAGGGTGTAAAAGGAAGTGTGTTGTGTTAAGTATTCAACAGAAAAAGGAAAATGCCACGAAAAAGTAAACAACAATATTAAATTTTTTAAGTGTTAAGTGTGAATATTCGTAAAAAGTGTTGGATGTTGTTGAAGACTGTGATGAAATAACTAATTCATACTTCAGTGTTGTGTAAAAAAATATTAAATAGGCCATGAGATGACATAAAAATGTNTCTGCATTCTTTGGGCCCGTTATGTTAACACAATGTTCTAGGGTAGGGGTGAAAGAATGCAAGGATTTGTGGAAAGTTTCAAGGACAGATACACCGCCCCAGTTGGTCTCTTTGTATCGGTGTTCAAGTGCGTTAGCAAAATGTCAGGGTGTAAAAGGAAGTGTGTTGTGTTAAGTATTCAACAGAAAAAGGAAAATGCCACGAAAAAGTAAACAACAATATTAAATTTTTTAAGTGTTAAGTGTGAATATTCGTAAAAAGTGTTGGATGTTGTTGAAGACTGTGATTGAAATAACTAATTCATACTTCAGTGTTGTGTAAAAAAATATTAAATAGGCCTCTCCCCCAATTGAGAAAGTTTTCTTCAGTTCGGTCTAAAAGATTTGAAGCTCTCACATGTATACACTGAGCAGTTTTTGTTGTGGATATGACTTCGTGGAGAGTATCTGTAAAGTTGTGGAAATCAGTGACATTGAGAAATTTATCTTGTATTGAGTATCTTCATACATACGGGTGGGATTGCTATGTTCAAATTTGAACTACTAAACTTTAAAGTCCATTCATCATATAATGTGCTGTAAAACTGTACTTCACAATACTTTGTGTGCGGTCTTTTAATATGTGCAAGGGTTGGAACTTTAATAGTGGCAACTATTTATTTACAACTGATACAAAATAGATGCGTGTTTCGAAGTTTTACTGTCCTTCACTGTAGTCACCAGCATTGTGTACAACCCATTGCCAGCGATGTGGAAGTCACAGGGTACCTTTAGCAGCCCCTGTTGTGTTGATAGTTCGAATGGAGCGCTCTCCTGCCTGAAGAATTTCTGGAACAGTTCTGAAGTGAATGCCACAAAATGGTTCCTTCATCTTAGGAATCAAGTCAAAGTCACAAGGGCCTAAGTCCGGGGAGTATGGTGGATGGTACAGCACTTCTCAGCCCCATCGATTGAACAAATCAGCCACAGCTTGCACTGCATGCGGCCAAGCATTGTCCCTCAAAATGATGGATGGGTTCTGCAGAAAATGTCGCCGCTTCTTTCTGAAAGCTGGTCGCAGGTTGTGTTCCAAAAATGAACAGTAATATTGTGCATTGATGGTCTGCTGTCAGGGAACGGTATGCGTTAGGATAACACCATCACAGTCGTATAGAGAATCACCATAACTTTCACATTGCTGGGGTTCTGACAAACTTTTGATTTTCGTGGTGACCCATAATGACACCATTCTTTCATTGGTGTTTCATTTGTGGCTCATACGATTGGGCCCATGTCTCATCCAGCATGATGATACGGCGTAAGAAAGCCTCATAGCACTCCAAGTGGTTACGAGCAGCATCGTATTGTAGTCTTTTCTGCATTTCCGTCAAATCATACAGAACCCATCGTGATGCAGTTTTTCTCATGCCCAGGCGTTCTTTCAGAATGTGAAGCACAGTCATATGCCCTAATCCTCTCTCTTGGCCAACTCACGAATCGTATGACTTTGATCACTCTCCAGCAATGCGGAAAGAGCGTACACTTCTTCACTGACACTAGGACGACCTGGCCGACACATGTCTGCCACATTTTTGTGTCCCTCGTTGAAGGCTTTTACCCACCTTGCCACTGTTCTGTAAGGCAATCCAGATTTCCTGCAAGCCTCTTAAAGACCTTCATGACACTGTCGTGCTGTACGGCCTCTGTCACATTCAATCTTTATCCAACTCCGTTGTTCCTATTTTGAAAATATCATGACCACCAGCTAACATGAGGCTCTGTTGTTCTCGTCACTGCGCATGCGCATGATGTGGGAAGGGATAGTCCATTTGCTCTGAGGTAAGGTAGGTATGTAACTAATGTGTGGTATAAGCAACATTATTTGGTTCTGTTGCATGGCATCTCTACAGCAGTGTTGTCACTAATAAAGTTCCAACCCTCATGTTATACCTCTCATGTGGAGAAACAATGAAGAATAGCGATTCAAAGGATAATGACTTTGTTGAAAGTTGATCAATTACTTCTGCACAGGTAACCAGAAAACATATTATGCTGTTGCTGTTATCAAGAAGGGCACTTTGGCTGATGTACGAACACTACAAGATTTGCGTGGGAAAAAGGCTTGCTTTGCTGGAGTTGGCACTCTAGCAGGATGGGTTATCCCAATCTATATGGTAAAACACCATTACTTCCCATAGACCTGACCACTCACCAGTCAGTGATTAACCAAGCATTGTTTTCCGTGGAGACAATTTTTCATGAAAGTGCTGCACCTTCTGACACCCTTCACAGAAGATTCATATTGTTATCTTATGGGTTATGACACCTTGTGGTTTTGTTACCAACATATCTACCCTATCAACTGTTCCTCCAGAATGTAGGTAATCACCCTACAGACTGCATGGTGTCATAGCCTAGAAGACGATAGTACAAAAGTATTTGTAATTCAGTTCTTATTTCCTCATTATGGATTCTTCCCAGCTTTGTACAGCCTTTCACTTTAAGTAAAAACTTTTGTCTCCACAGCTTGTGTTCTGTTATGATCTTTAGTGATCCAGTTTTCACTACCATTTAAAACTATGAGTGTGGCAGTACCTTATAAAATCTGAGATGTATGCTTGCTAATTGCCCCCTGAGAGTTCCATTAATGGATATCAAAACTCAACGGAAAAACTTCAGGAACGGACTCCTTATAGGGTGTCCCACGAGGAATGTACCAGACTTCGGGAGGGTGTTCCTTATGTCAAAGTATGCCAATATAACCCAAAACACCTGTGTCCAAAGTTCAAAGGTACGGAAATAATGGCCAGAGAAGTGTTAAACTTTGACAGGTGTTACACACTTGTTGATTACCAAATACATATTAAAACTGGCAGGAAAATGTGGTTTCTTTAATGTTAATAATGTACATAACATCAAACTAATTTGTGAGTGACATGAAGCCATTAAATTGAACTACAAAAAGACTCGCATGCCATGTCATAGTTGTCCTTAGGGTTTCAAGCACTATACATGACACATGAATGGCAAGCACTGACATAACATGGCTGACTGGGCATTCTGGTATAAGCCGACTACATAACTGTACTAGAATACAGTACCTGCTTTATAGTAATTGTTCAAAGTGTCCTCCGCCAGCTGCAATGGAATTTTCGGCACGCATCATGAGGGATTGGGTAACAGAAGCAATGTTGCCTGGATGGTGATGTATGTGTTCTGCCTCTGCAAAAATACGATCCCGCAGTGCTTCTCGTGAATCGACCTTAGTTTCATAGACTAACGTCTTCATGTGGCCCCAGAGGTAATAATCTAGAGGCATGTGGATTATTATGGGACCACGTATGCACATTTCGTAAATTATTTACACCGTCCCGGGTAAAATATGCCTCATCGCTGAATAAAATGACGCTTAACAGTTCGGGGTGAGCTTTTATCCAGTGGCACAAATCCATACACTGAGCATGGTCGCCTGGTTCCAGATGTACCCTTTGATCATGGTAAGGGTACAACTCTTCATCATGTAAAGTTCACCACACCTGTATACATGATACACCATTCTATGAGTGGACAGACGCGGACTTCTCTGAACTATCTCAAGTATGTTCTCACGTGTATTTATCATTCGTACATCCTCTCTTTCAGAGTGCGCAGATGAGCCGTGCTAAGCTTTAGCTCGCTCACGATGATGTCATCATCTTTCCTGTGACGGATTCCATCCCCACTATGCGGTATCCTGACGTCAGTCACGTGGTCCCAGGTACCCTCTTGTGAAGGGGAGACTTGTGCAGTGCAGTCGTTTAGACCAAGTCGACTTGGAAGGTTGTTTACTAGCCAGCAGGTTTGTGGTGGAAAATATTGGTTTCGGCTGGGGCTGTTCTAAATTCCCTTTGGTGTTATCTGCTGGCCGGTAAGGACTGCCCGCGGTCGCAAGCCGTTGCAGGAACGCTTGCGACGCACGTATTGGTTTTGGGTTGGTTTTTAGTCTCAGAATTTAGACTTGCGTTTGTATGGCCGAAGGGCTTAACGTCTTGATATTTCTAGCGTCGACACAGGTGGTGCCGACGGGAAATTGTTAGTGTAAATGAGCTTGTCTTTGTTTCTTGGTCAAATGTGTCTTTTTTGTTATTTATGTATTGTTATATTTTGTTATTAAATTGTATCTGGTTTTATCTAAGCCAACGACTGAGTGTAGCTTCCTCCTCCTAGCTTGGATACCCCATCTCCATCTAGGGGAGCGTGAGAACCAACAATAGGGCCAGTAACGATTGCGCTGTGCCCTTCCTCTTCGTAATAATAATAATATAATAGTACTCAGTGGAGAGGAAGACGAAGGGCACGGTGCACAGAAACACTCGGAAGAGAACCAGTATCAGGCAATGTCTGGTGAATTCGCATAAATACATGGAATCCTTCGACTGGGAAAACACCTTTGGTATTCTTCAACAGCAGCACGTGCATTGCCACTGCAAAATGCATACACAAAATGCATATCACAATATTCTACGTGTGGAAACACAAAAGGCATTTCAGCAACTCTGCACAACTAACCTACCAACCATTCACAACGCGGCCACAACATACCCTGAAGGAAGCATGTAAGATTACGGCTAGTGTGAGCCATTATGACCACACTCAAGAACAAACATCGATAAGACTTGTCAGCTGACAGGTACAGTGCGTGGACCCACGAGAAGACCACACTTTTCTTGGGCCATTATCTCCGTAACTGTTCAACTTTGTACATAGGTGTTTTGGGTTATGTCGGCATACTTTAACATAAGGAACACCCTCCCGAAGTCTGGCACATTCCTCCTGGGACACCCTGCATAGGGAGAAGGAAAAAAAGTGTATGACAGCATGGGTCTAGAAATGCATAATTACAGAGTTATCCGAGTGTGTAATTTACTGAGTGCATGCCGACACATCCTGTTTGCCGGAATAAAAATATGAGACACTGGGTACAATTGTTACACAAGTAATCATGTTGTGAATTTGATGTGGGCCTGAATACCTCTAGGACACGCAGATGATATCCTATCGCCTCCAGTTAAGTAGCTGTAGCCGTATTTGAAAGGCGTGTATGACATCTGTTATCTGTGATTATTAAGTGTTGTTTCCAGTCTGCTGTGAAGTGATACGTAATGTTCACAAACGAAGAACTTGCGAGCATGCATTACATACATGGTTTGGCGGATGGTAATGTTTTGGAGGCACGTTGCTTATATCAGGAATGCTACCCACTGCAGATTGTCAGACCGAAAGACATTTGAAGGAATCCATCGCCGCCTATGCGAACATGGGAGTTTCACACGTCCACCAGGTACAGGGGGACGGCCAAGAAGTACAACCCCTGAGGATAAGGAAGATGTACTCAACGCTATGGATCGAAGTCCTGGAGTCAGCGCAAGGAAGTTAGGCCTGCAGAAGAATATCCTGCACATGATGATCTGGAGACTGCTACGAGAAGAGCTCCTGTATCCATATCATCTACAGCGTGTACAAGTCTTGTCTCCTGCGGATTAACCTGCAGGAGTAACATTCTGCTGGTGGTTCCTGCAACAGTGTGGTGCGACACCTAACTTTGCAGCTGTTGTGTTGTTCATGGATGAGGCGACATTCACAAGGGATGGAATCCAAAATTTTCATAATCATCACATGTGGGCGGACACAAATCCCTGTGCAACTATCCAATCATCTCATCAACAGAGGTTCGCCATTACCATCTGGGCAGGCATTGTTGATGATTGTTTGTTAGGTCCCTACGTTCTTCCAGACAAGCTTAATGGACAGAACTACACAGATTTCTTGCGTACTACATTGCCTGATTACTTGGAAGACATGCCACTAGCATCCCATTGACAGCTGTACTTCATGCATGATGGTACTCCTGCACATTTGAGTCTTTCTGCCTGCAGGCACCTTAATGCACATTATCCTGGGCGTTGGATAGGTAGAGGTGGACCGATTGCTTGGCCACCACACTCTCTTGACTTTTTACCTGTTGGGACACTTAAAGTCTGTCGTGTATTTGACTGCTGTTGCTGATGTACCAATTCTCCATGCGTGCATTGTGGAAGCCTGTCAGACAGTACGCACTACACCAAGCATTTTTGGTCATGTGCGGCACTCAATGAGACGATGAGCGGAGGCCTGTATTCAGGCAGGAGGAGGTCACTTTGAACATTTCCTCTGATATGTGTGTTCCAGCTGGCATTACAGACGTATTCATTGTAACAGTGCAACAGTGTTGGCAGTGTCGGATTGCACTAACGTTACTAAAAGGTCGGATAACTGTAATTATGCATTTTTGGAACCATGTCATACACTTTTTTTTTCTTCTGTCTATATGAGGAGTTCAGTCCTGAAGTTTTGCCCTTGAGTTGTGATACCCTCTGTATAATGCAGTTTATAAAAGGAACTGAAATTGTTGCGAAGCATTACAAGTGGGTTGACAGTAAACATGCTTCGGATTTGAGTGAGTCCATTTTAAAAACAGGAATTTCCAACCTAGCAAGGGAGTTGTTGACTGTTTTTGCTTGCTGTGGGAAGCTCTGACGAGAAAGAAGAAACATGCACCTCAGCCCTTCTGAGACGTAAGAATAATAGAGAAGATGCCTTCCCCATTGTATCATATAAGCTGAGGGATAACCTTAAATTATCTGTCAGCAAATGTGTTTCATTCCAGCCATTAGGACTTGAACTTGGATTGATATTAATATATTTGCTTTCCAGCATTTTAATCCAATTTTGTTTTAAATTTTCAGCTTATGCAGAGAGGTGGCATGGATGTGATTGACTGCAACAATCATGTCAAGTCTGCAATAAAATATTTTGGACCAAGTTGTGCAGTAAATTCTCTTATAGATAAATACAACCCAATTGGTATGTGTATCTTAATGTATATTTTTTTTATTTCACTTATCACTTGCCTTAGCCTGGAAAGTAACTATCCTGAGGTTTCTTGTATTTTTCCCTGGTCACTTCAGGCAAAGTAGGTCATGACCGCTTCTTTCCACTTTCTTTCCAATTCATCATTCATGAATCATCCTACCATGCGATGCTGCATAGCCTGGGCTACTGGTGTCATTGTTAAGTAAACCACAGCTAAAGAGAATAATTGTAATAAATTTACTTAACAGTTTTCATCCAACTTTTGCATACTATAAAGAAACACAACTAGACAGCAAGACTCGTGATATAAATTAGCATGTCTGCAGTTGAGTGTGCCATGAAGAAAAAGAAACCAGTATGAGGTTGGTACCTGCTTCATGTTGATCTGTTGCTTGCTTGGCTTATTTTTTGACCCTGAAGATAAAGGTGACATGTTCCTCTGAAACCTCGGTTGACCTTCAGTGTACTACACGCCATAAAAGAAATCAGGTGGTAAGAAGAGCAGGCTGCTTGTGGTAAACAGGATTAGTATGGACCAGGAGGGAACTCAGAACCAATGAGAGGAGACCTGTATTCTGTAAGGGGCATTAAAGGAACTAATATGAGCCAAGGAAAGAGTCATGTAGTCATTCTTGGAGAGAGTGTTTTGTTATTTAGAGAAGTACAGACAAGCAGAAGGGGAGTCATATGGCTGGATGGTAAGTAGAGAACTGAGGGAAGGAGGGGAGTTGTGAGCAAGTGACAGGAATTAAGAAGAGCAAGATTTAATGGAAGGGAAGTCAAGGTGGAAGAAGGAAGATGCTGCTGTGAAGAGCAAAAGTGAAGTTTCAGGTTTCATAGGTTAGGATGCCCAGCCTGCAGGGCCTGGTGAAGAGCCCCATCATGAGAATCTCATGGAAAAGCCTTCCTTTGTTCTTTCAGGGAGTAGATGAGAGGTTTCCTTGACTTGCTTAGAGACACGTCATCCTGTGTGGATTAACCTTCTATCTTTTAAGGACAGTTTCTTACTGTTCACAGATTCAATCTTGATAATTTTAAATCAGGACTTGAAACTTTGAAAGTGCAAATTGAAAGATATCAAATGTTTGGATAGCACCCCTGTTTTGTAATCAGGATGTCCTGGGTTTGAATTGTAGCCCAGAGACTGTCCTGACTGAAGTTTTCCTTGAGATGCTCAATGTTCAGCAAAAGTAAAAAATTAGGTTAAACTTCTATTTTATAAATGCTCATATTATAGTGCTTTAAAATAGCCCTTTTGATACTTTTTCAACATGATTTTGTTTCAGTAAAGTGATGCTTTTGAAGTTACCAGGGATTCAAAGTATGCTTAAAGGAGCCATTTCTGTGTTTCTGTTTAACTTTTTGTATTAATATTGACTCCCATACACTCAAATAAAACATTTAAATTTGCCATGTAATGTAAAAAGATGAAGTTGTCCCTGTGCTTAAGTAATTAAGTAGCATGCCATGAAGATATTAGGGGAGTAGGGTATAGCTCCACCATCCTTGATCTCAGCACTAGATGGAGGTGAGTGATCTTTCCCTAGGGGAAGGATCCACAGGTGCCCACTGGATAGGAGGCTGGGTGGGCCCCAGAACTGTTCTGAATGCTGTGTAGAAGAGAAAAATGTCTTTCGCCTGACCTGAACCGAACCCTGTCTTTTGAGCCCACAGCCTGTCCCAATACTGACAGCTGTTTCAGGGTTTACTGTTAGTAGAGTATTACCTACCATACTTCTCAACTCTTCAACATGAATGCAGAATTATATGTAGGTAAGTCAATAATTATCCGCAATGTAGCTATAAATTTTATTTCAATACAAATAGAAAACTTACATTAACATCATTTTTCAACATAGTCCCCTTGCTTTTCAACGCGCTTGGTCCATCGTTGCACAAGCTTCCTGATGCCCTCAGAAAAGAAGGTTTTTGGCTGAGCAGCGAGCGACGCATGTACCGCTTCCTTCACTTCTTGGTCCGAGGTGAATCGACGGCCCCTTAATGCCTCTTTGAGTGGACCAAACAAGTGGTAGTCAGAAGGGGTGAGATCAGGACTATACGGAGGATGAGCCATTACATCAGACTTGAGTTTCTGGTGGGTTTCAGCAATGTGAGCATCAGTATGTGGACGGGCATTGTCGTCCAACAACACAACACCTTTCGACAGCAGTCCTTGGCATTTGCTTCGAATTGCAGGCTTTAGCCTGTCAGTAAGCATCTCACTGTAACGAGCACTGTTTATTGTTGTGCCCCTTTCCTGATAATGTTCCAGCACCGGGCCTTGTGAGTCCCAAAAAACTGTAAGCATCAGTTTTCCTGCGGATGGTTGGCTTTTGAACTTTTTCTTGCTGGGCGATTGTGGATGTTTCCATTCCATATGCTGCCGTTTACTCTCCGGCCCACAATGATGGATCCGTGTTTCATCACCAGTGATGATTTTGTCTAAGAAGACGTCACGTTCGTTACCATAATGATCCAGATGATGTTGGCAGATGTCCAAGCATGTTTGTTTATGCAATACTGTGAGTTGTTTTGGGACCCATCTTGCACAGACTTTATGAAACCCAAGTCTGTTGTGAATGATTTCGTAGGCAGAACCATGACTAATTTGCAGACAATTTGCCGCTTCATCAGTAGTCACTCATCTGTCTAACAGAACCATGTCACGTGCACGCTCAACGTTGTCCTCATTTTTGGCCGTGGATGGTTGTACAGCTCTTTCCTCATGCGTAACACTTGTGCGACCATTTTTTTAATTTTTCAATCCATTCGTAGACACTCTGTTGTGTCAAAACACTGTTCCTCTATTGTGCTGAAAGTCTTTGATGGATTGCAGCCCCTGATACACCTTCCAACCTCAAAAACTGGATCAGTGAACGTTGCTCTTCTTTGGTGCAAACAGAAAGCGGAGCAGCCATGATTAACGGCAAGGCAGCGACGATGGAACTGACCTAGCAACATCAAACCTGCACAGAAATAATAACAAGGAAACCACGCATGGCGATGCTGTGCAAAATGACAGCGCTGCCAACAGAAACACAAACACGACTGCATTGTGGATAATTATTGACTTCCCCTCATATATGCAACTTCATTTGTGTTCATATAAGTAACTTGCTTTAGCAATTATTGTATTTTTCATCTTTAAATTCCTTTATTTGATTCTGTATGACTGCATTTATATGTGTATGTAATAGTGTTTTATGTTTATATTTTGTAGGTGATAATTCAGACAAGCTATGCAAGTTGTGTATAGGGAAGATTCCTGGAGATTGGTGTTCCAGTGCAGATCCATATTTTGGGTTTGAAGGAGCATTTCGATGCTTGGTGGAAGCAGGAGAAATTGCATTTTTAAAACACACTACTGTTGAGGAAATGACTTCAAACCAATTTGATTTCAGTGAGTTTTTTATCTTATGCTTGCTTTTGTGTTAATTTCAGATTTCACAGTTCAGCCTTCATGAAAAATGACTGTGGATCGTTGTCATTCCTTCCATACAGTTTATCTGCATGTGCACACATTTTCTGTCATACATGCACCCACATCTACACTTGTACCCTCCCTCCAACCTCTCTCTCTTTCTCACACCCACAGATACATAGAGAAGTGGAGGCAAGGAAATCATAATACTATCATGTGATAGAGTGACTATAGATGTTTTGATTGGTAATTGGATTTGTGAACTCTTACATATCTGTGGCTACAAGTAATTATAACTCTTTCACAAATTCACACATTTTACAGTTCACTAGAATACACACTTAAGTCTTCTCAGCCTGCTGTGTCTTCACCAGTCATCTGGTAATGGCTTCCAACGGCAGACATTCCCCTTCCTCAGGGTTCCCAAACTCTCCCTGGCCTCAGCAACAACTCACCACAACTGAACCTCAGCAGTTATTTCACTTACTAACTATCAACCAACTCTTCACTGACTCACTCCACCAACTGTTCTGCCTATAACATCTCAGTATGGACCACATAGAAAACACTATTCTCTGTTGCATTGCAATTGTTGCTCAGCGGTGGCATGATGTATGCCACTGTTGCATTCTCAGCCATTGACATGGACTGCACAGTAAACATGATTCCTCTGTTGTTTATAGGCCATAACTCAGTAGCAGCTGTTGTATAGTCACTTATTTCAGAATCGTTGCCTACCAGTGGGTCTACATGCAACGGTATTTTTGTGAAGAATGCTGTCTGTTTATACAGGATAACAACTTTAACAGTTACTCACTTCAGAAGTTTATTCTAGTTAATAATGTATTAGTCATGTAAATTCCTTTCTATAAGAGTGAAATTTTCCCATGTGATGAAATGGACAGTTATAATTTTTTAAACCTTGAATTTGAATTTGTTCTTGAACTAAATACAGATGCAGAAAGTTGATAAAGTGTTTATACATTTTGAATTGTTTCATTTTGGTCCGTTACACTATCAATCACAAAGTTAATAGAGAGTCCATCGAGTGTAAAAATTTGTAGGTCACTTTATTATTATTTCTGTCTTACATGTTTCGGTTTGACACAACCATCATCAGAGGCACTTGCTATAATTATGGAAACACTGTGGCTGTTTTTTGATGTTCACAATTATGTTTGTCGTGTGGACGCTGCTACGATATGTTGACGTGTAAAAGCACAAAACATGCTAAGATAGTTGAGTACACTCTCAAGTTCTCACTTTTCATCCGAACCTATTTTTTAAGTTAAAACACTAAAACATCCTGTCTTTGGGATGAATTAACAAGGAGGAGTTCAGCATTTATATAAAATATTTTAACATTTTAGTGTTTTAACTTAAAAAATAGGTTCGGATGAAAAGTGAGAACTTGAGAGTGTACTCAACTATCTTAGCATGTTTTGTGCTTTTACACGTCAACATATCATAGCAGCGTCCACACGACAAACATAATTGTAAACATCAAAAAACAGCCACAGTGTTTCCATAATTATAGCAAGTGCCTCTGATGATGGTTGTGTCAAACCAAAACATGTAAGGCAGAAATAATAATAAAAAGTGACCTACAAATTGTTACACTCGACGGACTTTCTATTAACTTTGTTTATACATCCTTAATCCTGTAAGCAGAGCTCATTTGTAAATATGAAATGTCTTACTGAATCATCATTGTCATCTCTGAAAAACTGTTATTTTGTAGGTGGTGTGTCAAAGTCAGACTTTGAACTACTTTGTCAGGATGGCTCACGGAGACCTGTAGATGAATATCAGTCCTGCTACTGGGATGTGGTCCCAACTCATGCTGTTGTCACAACTTCAGCCAAATCTCCTGAGTTGCGGAGAAACTACCAACGCTTTCTCAAGGTTAGTAACAGATTCCATTCTTCTTTATTCAGTGAATAATTATTAATTGAGGAGCACTTGCTTCTACTGAACAATTACATGACCCACTATTGTTAGTATACTTTTCAAAACCACCTGAGTTCACTCTAAAGATTGTTGGTATGTAGGCAGGAATATTTTATCAAGATGAAATCAGAAATTCCATCCTGTTATACTGTGGAGAGTAACACAGCCAAAGGTTGTAATGTGTGAATTATTTACTGTACCTACTGATTAAAATTACATGTTTTATTACAGAAAGCAGTTGATATGTATGCCACACCCACAGTAAACCAGACACGTACACAGAACTTCCCAAATGACTCATTTAATATTCAACCATTGGTGCCATATGAGTCATATAATTTATTTGAATCTGCACCAAGATATGGCCTCCACCACAATTTACTGTTGCAGGTGAGAAACTAGTATATTAAACCCTCTTACCATTGATTTTTTTCCATAAGAATGGATACAGAGAAACTGATCTCTGTCATTCTTCAGTCAAGAATCTTTGTTCTGAACTGAAATATCAGATGCTTTTTTGTTTAGATGAGAACATAATTAGCTGTTGGCAGTGAAAATAATTGCAATACAGGAAACCCCCATTTAATGTTCCTCAGTTTCATATTTTGTGTCATTTAATGTTGAATTTCATTGATCTCAAGTCAGTAATCTCAGTGTTAAATTTACTCAGCTTAATATTTGAATTCACTGATCCTCAAACCTGGAAAGGGGGTTTCACTGTAGTTTGAATTATCAAGTTTTGCAGGTTGTCACAATAATATAAAGAATACTCAGTGCACGCCTTGAAACATCTTTGATCTGAAAAGGATAAATTGTGAATGTATATACAAATATAAAATATCTTGCGTGTAATGAAAATAACAACTGTAGCACTTACACAGATGTTTGAGGTTATGCCATTCATATGCAGGTATTCTGTACTAACAAATATTTTTCACTTTCCCTGCATTTCTTTTCATCCACTGGATATAGCAATTAATACATGAACACACATATTTTGCAAGAAAGGAATGGGGGATACAAAATGGCAAAAGTGGGCAGGAAAACATTGGTTCATAAGAAATAAACATACTACCTTATTAACTTTGTAGTAGAATTCTGAAATTTATGAACAGGAAAATGTTTTAAGAGTACGCAGTAAATTTTGTGTATGCATATGGCATCCGTGAACTACTTCATGTACTGAAGAATGATGTCCAAATCTCATCCACAAGGAAATGATTTTTATTACAATAATTAACCCTTATATGCTCAGCATGCCAATCCATTGGTACACCAGGTAATGGCCAGAGCATGCAGGTGGTTGATCTATCCCTTCCATCTAAATCATGCTCTTTTAGTTATATAAATGGCTCAAAGGTGGCAGCAGAAGATGATACCTAATTCTCCAAGGTCTCTTTCACAGTTTGCCCCCAGATGGCATCCATTTGCTTACAAGAAATAGCCCACTTTAATAGAATAAGATGTTTATAAGAATGTGCTACAGAGGGCTGGATGGGCATTACCTATGCCTTTTTTGTATTTACAATTATTTTTCACAATTCACCGAGAAGCAGTGGTCACTCAGTCAGTATAGTTCACTTGCAGACATGTTTACTTGGTGGTTCAGTGATTTCTTGGTCTATGGTTTTAGTTGTTTTACTATGTATATATCATAGTTTAGTGGAGGTATTTTGTTTTTATAATAACATTACATATTATTTATCATATTTTCCTTAAATGTTTTGGCGTTAATAGTTAGTTATTTTACATTTTTAAGTAGACAGTTGCTGGTCCAAGCTCTAGGTTAGATGATATGTGACATGTTGGAATATTTAGATAAAATTGATAGTGATAGTAATTTTATTTTGGAAAGTGACACTGATGATACAAGTGAAGAAGAGGAAGATGCCCCACATACCACAAATATTTCGGCCAAATAAAGAAAGTAGTGGGGGAAACTACATAGTGAGAAATTTCATGGATTCATCTCGCTCATGGTAGGGTCAGTGATGAATCCTAACGTGGTAATAAGACTTTCGGTTCTGTAAAAGACAGGTAGTTTTTTGACAAGCTGAGTGAATTATACATTCTTTTGACAGAAGCACAAAATTGTAACATGAAATATTGCATCAGTTGGATCAACATTGTCTTTTGTAGTAGTACAGATTTTTACTTAAATTGCATGTGAAAGGATATGAACAATTTTCAAATTTTATATACCACATAGTTGAATGTGTACAAAATATGTTCTTAATAAAATATTGCTGCTATGGTGTGAATTAAATGTGTTTGACAGTATTATATGACTCATAAAGTCACATATTTCAGTAGACATAATCATATCAGTTCTAACACCTGCAGGAGAAAAAATTTGTGTTCTTACTTTGCTATCCAACCTCTTATGTACAAAAATAAAACATTGCCTGTGTTTGTTTTTAGTTAATACAGGAAAAATAAAGCTCAAATGGGACAGCATTTGTGTTTGTTCGCTGAAGGGTGTCTGTTGTTCTGCAGGATGTTGCGGTTGCATTGTCTCCACTGAGTGAGTCACAGCAGACTTATACTGGCTATTTAGGAAATTCACTTAATACTATCCTTGGTGTACGTCATTGCCCAGTCAACAAAATGACGCTTTGTGTCACATCAGACCCAGAACTGGAAAAATGTATCAAGATGAGAGTATGTAAATGCATAATTTTATTTATTGTATAGTGCACAAGAACAGGGTTATATATGTGAGCTACATTTTCTGTTGGATGTATAAGCACAGCAGTTAATAGAACAAGTTAAGCTCCTCATGGCTTGCAAGGCAAAACTGAAGTTTAACCATTAATATGCAGATATTATCTTTATTAAAACTGTTTTTCAAATATTTTTTTCTTAAGCAGACTTTTATGTTGGTGATAACCATATTCTGAGGTATGACATATAATCTGGTAGTTTATTGAGAGCAGTTAGGATAAACCTGCTGTTTCCTCTGAAGTACTGGTAACAGTCTACCAGACTGTATGGTGTCACATCCTAGAAGACATCACTCTGCCTGAGATCGCACATTTGTTGTTGTTACTTTGACATGCTACTTGCCAAATTATTTTGTAGGTCTAGAACTGACATCATTCGCTTGTCACTGAACTTCATAAGTGTAGCAATGGTAAACCAAATTAAATGACATTTATAGATAAACTATATATTTTTGTAATTTGGAGTTTTTAATAGCTTCAGGTCCAAACAAAATTGAATTTTGAATTGTTCAAGCATCAGTGGTAGTTAGGATGATGGGTTTTTAGTTCAGTAATAATTTCAGTGAAGAAATTTTTATTCATGTCTGCAATACCAAACAAATGGTCTTTGTGAAATTCTGAAAAAGTATGTATTACATTATTCTTCACTTCTATATGTTTCAGTTTTATCCTTAGAAAGTGGAATGTTAACATTTGCAAGACATCTTGCATGTCTTCTAGTCTACATCTTTCATGAACTCATCTCACACTTTGAAAGTATACTGAGGAAGCACACCTAATTTTGAGATAACATGATCAAATCACACACTTTTTTATATATTACTTTGAAACCCATGTTTGGATCAAACCTTGTTACGTGCGTGGTTCTCTTTGTCCACTTGCTGATCTATAACTGAATATACAGACTGTGATTATTATTTATATTGAGCCATGCTAGTATGTCTTCATTCCAGAATTAAGAAGATTTGGACTGTGCTTTATTGCATGTTTGAGTTTCCTTGTATTGATAAAGAAGCTACAGATATTTTTTTGTGAAGCAGGTGTGTTGTTATATTGATGTTTCAGAGCTGTGTTGCATGCTTGGCTGTCTCTACATGTATACTGAAGCTGTCACTTATTACTGTCACCAGTGTACCATTATAATGGTAGTTGAGCATACACTGCATTCAAGACATATTGAGTTGCACAGTTGGCTTACTTCTCCTTCTCCCCCTTTTCTTCTTATCCTACTGCATGTCCTTTGATGTCGAAAGAACAGAGATCCATTGGGAATGTAATTTAAGAAGATCATATTATTCATAGATAAAAAGAAATATCTAAATATACTGTACTCTGGATAAACAGATTGTAATTGTATTTATCATTGTTAAGTCATACTAAAAATATACTGCCCATATCCAGCTCTGTGTTGACTTTGGAAAATATGACTGAACATGAAGGTCCAAGCACCCTCTATGCATCTAATTATACACCCATTTAGAAATGCTCTGAGACAAGACCTGTGAGCACTCATAGCTTTCATTTCTTTTATACAGTTTTAAAATAAAGGCAGTCTGAATGGAACTGAATGTGCATGAAGAGTCATTCAGTTTGAAAAGCACATTTAGGTTAAATGATGAAGAACACCATTGTATTCAAAATTGTTATCATTCACCAGTGCCTCAATATTAGTACTTTGGCAAAGTTCAATTTATGCTGTAGAATATTATGGTTTCATTGTATATGGAACGTGTATCACCCAACATTAAATATTTGTAACTACATAATGGTTTGTTGAGGCACTATGTTACAAGCCGGAAGGTCGCGGGTTCAAGTCCTGATGAGGTCATTGGATTTTTTCAATTTATATAATCCTTCCAGCTGCACTATGGCCTGGGGTCAACTCAGCCTCTAACAAAATGAGTACCAGGAATTAAATAATTTTCCTGGGAAGTAAAGCGTGGCCGGCACATAAGGCTGACAACCGTACTGTCATCTTTGGGCCGATTGTCTAGATAATGTGGGACCCTCAACATCTCACAACCCTATGGGCCTTCACGGCCTGTTATAGGGATAGCTTTACTTTTTTCTTACTAGTTTCTTCACATTGTCACAGTATATATTGAGCTTTGCAGCTTCTATTTATTTTGCATTAAGTTTAGTGTTTCAATAACCAGAGAAGGAAACATGATTTATGATGGTATATTGAGCTCTTTACAATACATATTAATGTGTTGTGTCAATTCTGTGCTTATTTCCAGACAGCTTTGAAGGCGCAACTGCTGAAACCAGAAATGGTCTGTCACAAAGGCCACAGCCAAATCAACTGCATGCAGGCTATAAGCAATGGGTATGCAGTTTGTGGCTTGTAGAATGGACATCATTAGCTCTTCTGTTAAGTGGAGTGGGGAGGAGAGGATTGCACATCGTTAATCTTTGTCATGCATGGATCGCAATACTGTGATGTTGTGTGTGTTGAACAAGCAGGCCTGGTGTCACACTTTTTACAAATCTCTAATATTCTTGCCCCTTCTGTTTGATTCTAGTTTGTTAATTTTGTCTTTCAGATGTTCCCTCTTTTTGTTCTTGAAATGTCCACTAGCGTCACATCTTACATTGCTCTGATTATCTCCATTCATTTGGCTTGAATCTGTTAACCATTTGATATGCTTCCTTTGATCTAATAAATTGAAATATTCTGCATTATACTGTGATTTATGCTACTTTAATTCATGATAATCAAGACTCTCTTTGGCCAAACTTCTGATATTTTCTCTAAGACTGTCAAGCCCTTTTGATGTCCACAATGCTGGAAACGTGTCTGAGTTTTCAGTATGTTTGACTCCAACATACATTCCTGTATGAATTGATTTTGGCATAGGGAAGGAGACCAACAATTCTCAAATTCAAAACTTGCAAGAATCAATAAAAACTTTGAATGCAGTTTTTAGGTACTGTAGCAAGTATCAATAAAAACTTTGAATACAGTCTTTAGGTACTGTAACATTTGTTTGGACAGGCTGCTTTTTTTCTTAAAAATAAATTTGAATAGTATAAAAACTTTTGAGGCACCCTGTATTTTGTTTGTTATTGTGAAACTCATACCTGTCATATAATTCTGCTGTGAAATGTATATGTAGTATTATGTAAGTTCTTGTTGTTTTTTAAATTCTGATTTAAAATGTTTATGACAGGATTGCAGATGTGGCAGTGTTTGATGCAGGTGATGTGTATACTGCAGGACTGAAGTATGACTTGATTCCATTCATCTCAGAAGTTTACAATCTGGGAGAGCCTGAATATTATGCAGTTGCTGTGGCCAAAGAAGAAGATCCCGACACTGAGCTGACCTACTTAAAGGGTATTTCCAGCTTCTTTGTACACTTATTGTTAGATGAACAGCATTGTCAGAACAGAAACTGCAGCGGGAGTTACCTGACTCTTGGGCCGCACCATATCTCAAGCAGTTAGTCGCTGGCTTCCCACTGCGACAGCCTGGGTTCGATCCCGGGTCTGGTCAAGTGGGCTTTGTTGTGGACAGAGTGGTGCTGGGGCAGGTTTTCTCCGAGGACTTCCGTTTCCCCTGCCAATCTTCATTCCATCTATTGCTCCACAATCACCCTCACCTATCATCTGTGGCTGGTACACTAGACCAGAAGTGGCCGCAGTACAAGAGACTTAGTCACACCCCACTAGCAATAAAAAAAAACCTGACTCTTGCATCACAGTTAAAAGTCTGATTTAGTTAGAATTTATGAAACTCAGAATTAACATTATGTCGCTAGAGATTAAACTTTATCTTTGTTAGTTTGAAACTGTTGTCATGTGTTGGGTGTGTGATGCGACAAATAACTTCATGCCGTTTTGGATCTAGCAAATATATTGCACATTCGCTCTTACAATTACACAAGTTCTGCCAGCTGCAGTATCACAATTTCTCCTTCCACTATATCTCAGCAAATCCATTCAATTGTCTCCGATGGCGGCTATACTAAGACTTTGCCTTACACTGAATACTCAATACTCCATAGTAGTAACTCTCTCGTAACTCAATACTCAATCTTTACGCATTCCAGTCTCCCTTATAAACCCTCAGTCGGACAGCAGAAAACCCACATCGCTTCACTGTTGCGTAAACGCCATGTTTACAGGCATTGCTGGGCAGCGCTGCCGAGATTTGTTTATTGCTGTGTAGCAACCAGCTCGCTTTGGATCTACTCGGCATGGCATGGAGAAACACTGCTTTCCTTACTGTTGCGTAACCTCGTTTCCACTGTTACGTAACTTGGCAACCAACTGTTTATCAAGGGTCTGTCTTTGTGGTAACTCGTTCCACCTCCCGATGCCCTGCAACAGTTAGACATGTCACACTTTGATAAAATAGGTGTATTGGAAAGTTCCCAGACTAGGTCTAAAAAGAAATGCTGGCTTAACTTACTCAATTCTGGCTGCCATCTCCTTCAGAGTAGTCTCCTTTGAAACATAATACAGCCATGCCATCGTTTTTTCCATGCTTCAAAATCAGTCTGAACCATATATAGTCACTAAACAGTGACAATTGGTGTCAGAAGTGCTGGATTTGATTGAAGTATTGGACTTGATAGTTACTTTGTGGAACTGGGACAGACATGGGAATGTCTGCTAGCTAAAATGTGAGCTGCCGTGAGAACCAGCCAAGAATAGTTGAGGGCCTCAATAAATGCCAGCCAAGAAGCGATTTAGGCCACCATAAAGGCCAGGCAAGAGGAGATGAGGGTTACAATAAATGTGATCTAACCTACCCAGGCTGAATTTGAAGAAACCATCAGGTGGGTAGAAGACATCTGGGAATCTGTCAACTTGAGGATGCAGAGCCTCTGCAAGGAACTCGGCAGCAAGATGCAAGAGACAGAAATACTGGTAGAAGACATGCTATGTGAGCTCAAGAAAAACTGGTGAACGTCCAGGCCCAAGCAGAGCATTGAGGCAGTTGGATTGCAGTGATCTGCATGGATAGGGTTAGAGAGCCCAAGGGACCATGGTCACTAGGGATGAAGTGTCAGAGGACTGGGCGACCCATATGCTGGCAGTGTATGGGGCATTGACCATTGACAGGGATACCACCAGAAGAGGTTGACTGAGACCCAAGAAAATGAGCAGAGGACACAATGAAGAAGGTGCTGCCATCATCAGTCTTGTCCATTTTCTATACACTTAGCATGTTGAAAAGGAAGGTTGAGGACATCTTCAATGCCAAGGGATGGATAGGAGACAAGTCATAACCTGTGACCGTTGGAGTGCAGGAGCATCGTTTATGATCACCAGGCAGGACATCATGCTGACAGAGAACCGACTAGGACTGATTAGAAGACAACACCCTCAGCAGTTCCTCAGCTGTCATGTATATATTTGTTGCCATTGAAACATGTTTTAACACACTGTTGCATAATAATGGATGCCTATGCAACACTTTTCTGACTCCAGTATTCTGACTTTCAGGCACCATGCCACAATATAAATATTTGATAAGTGTCGTTGATTTTTATTGCTCATGTTATAGTGTGACTTAATAGAAGTGTAGACCTTCTCTTGAATTTCGCACAAATCAGCCAATACATGTAATAGCTATTTATGAAATGCAGGTGGTTGGGGAATAAGAAAATCTTGGTAACATTTTCATCCAAATAAAGTATTCACTGGACCTGATTCAGGCTTCAAATTTAATGTAGATATGTTATAAGTTATCCATATTTGAGAAGTAAATATGTGTGTGTTATTTTAAATTATCTGACAGTTGATGAGAATTAACATATTGTGGCGTATTGGCTCTATGCAGGAACTGTGGAGCCACAGAGGCCTCTGGGCATGCTTGTAACGTGATAGTTGCGGATTATATCGGCGCATTGCTAGGCGACAACTCTGTGACCATGTGGATTGCGCAACAGGAAGTGCAAGTGACGTCACATACCCCACTTGTCCAGTCACTATGCAACACTCAGTAAACACACCTCCCTGCTAGGCTGTAATGTCATGCAACAGTAGGGCATCCATTGCTAGGCAATGTGTGGTTAGACACACCTGACAACAGTACTTGATATCTGTTGCCGAGCAGCAGTGTGTTGTCTGTAGAGTCCGTTGCTGGTCAGTAGGCTGATTTCTGTGTGGTCAGTGCAGTAGCTACATAATGAGAGTATTCGTCAGTGTTGAGCCAGTATTGAGTACGAGTATGAGTTACGAGAAGTTGAGAGTGGCGGAAGCAAGCAAAGCGGATCAAGGAATACAGAAGGTTGTCTGTGAGGATGTCAAGTTTGATTTAGAAGACTTCATGTGTGCAATGGTGCATGCAACAGTGGATTATGGGGCATATGTAAATCATCAATAGTGCTGTAATTTGAGTGTAATTGAGAGAGTGGATCTAACCAAGCTGTTAATAAATCCAACCATCTGAACTAGAACCCATCATTTCATCACGCATACCCTCCTACACGTGACAATATCATAAGAACTGACTGGAAACTGTAGGTCTATGTACATATTTCAGCATTGTTTGCCATCCAAAAATATCATGATATGGCAGTACTGTTGTACAGGGAGATCGAAAAGTCGCGCACATGAAACTAAAAGTTGTTATAAATTGTATTGCAGTTAATATAATTAATCTCCTACTGCTAGATGGTACTGTGGGAGTACTAACAAGTAGAAATGTCATCTGTTGTGTATCGGTCATATGATGTCTGCAGTATAGCTTTATTTAGTGCATGGCAGACATGTCGTTTTGCCAAGAACGAGTTTTTATTTNGGGAGATCGAAAAGTCGCGCACATGAAACTAAAAGTTGTTATAAATTGTATTGCAGTTAATATAATTAATCTCCTACTGCTAGATGGTACTGTGGGAGTACTAACAAGTAGAAATGTCATCTGTTGTGTATCGGTCATATGATGTCTGCAGTATAGCTTTATTTAGTGCATGGCAGACATGTCGTTTTGCCAAGAACGAGTTTTTATTTGACATTTGTTGGCAACCATGGAATTGAAGAGTTTGATCAGGTTTTCTTCACTGACAAAGCATGANCTCCTACTGCTAGATGGTACTGTGGGAGTACTAACAAGTAGAAATGTCATCTGTTGTGTATCGGTCATATGATGTCTGCAGTATAGCTTTATTTAGTGCATGGCAGACATGTCGTTTTGCCAAGAACGAGTTTTTATTTGACATTTGTTGGCAACCATGGAATTGAAGAGTTTGATCAGGTTTTCTTCACTGACAAAGCATGATTTCACCTTAGTGGCTACGTGAACAGTCAAAACAATAGGATTTGGTCATCTGAAAATCCACATGTCTTACATGAAAAGCCCTTGCACTGTCAGAAAATTGGAGTGTGGTGTGCTGTATCACGTCATCGAATAGTGGGCCAAATTTTCTTTGAAACAACAGTGTACCAAGATATCATTACACAGTATATTGCACTTTAAATTAATGAACGTGAGTGTTGGTTACAGGAAGATGGTGCCACATGTCACCCATCTAATGAAATCATGTGGTTCTTGTGCGAGTTTTTCGGTGACCATCTCATTTTGAAATGATTGTGGCCCCCATGTTCGCCCAATTTGTCACCCACAGATTTTTTCCTTTGGGAGTACCTCAAAGGAATTGTCTATAAAAACAATCCTCATACACTGGATGACCTCAAGAGGAACATTATGACAGCGATTAACAGCATCAGTTTACAGGTGCTCCACAAAGTGGCCTCAAACGTGGTAAAAAGAGCTCGCGCATGCATTGCTGAACAGGGAAGCCATTTCAAGCATATGTTATAAAGACACGATTTGATAATGCATTTCTTAGATGTGAGGTTATAAACATTAATAGTCGGTGCTGTATGTCTTGTAGTTTGTGCATTAAACCACCAAAATATAATTGCTTAGTGTGATGTGCGCAACTTCTCAATCTCCCTGTATTAATGTTACTTAGATATACATTAATGTACCAACCGAGCGACCGCTGCTTGTCGGCAAAGTTAGTGTAGACTTTTGCGGATAGGGGTTGTCATGTGGCCAGCGCAACAGATCCCCATGGCCGTTAGTCTTAAGTTTTTTAGACTGGAGCTGCTATTTTCTTGAAATAGCTCCTCCATTATCCTCACGAGGTTGAGTGGGCCCCATTCCAGACCCACTACTACTCAGAAAATCTGGTAGCGCTGGGAATAGTTCATTTGCAGACTACAGGCCACAGTTTTTTTAGATGTACATTAAATAATATGAATATTATTTTCTTTCCTTGCAGGTAAATACACGTGCCACACTGGTATTAACACAGGTGCTGGTTGGATTGTTCCACTTGCCTTCCTTATTTCAAATGGCTGGATCCGCAGCTATGGATGCAATTCTATACGTGCAGCTGCTGAGTACTTCACAAAGTCATGTGTGCCTGGAGCCCTGAGCTCAGAGTATAACACTGGTGTGCCTTATGATAACATGTGTGATCTGTGCCATGGAACAAGCTATCGATATTGCAGAAGAGATGCATCGGAAGACTACTTTGGGTACACAGGTCAGTAGGAGAGAACAAGTGGAGAGGTGTACTCTGGTTTGGAGTACTCATGATTTTCCATATGTTTCTTTATAGTTCATTGTACATAATATTATCTTCTCTTGCAGTGAACCATTCTAGAGAAAATAAAGTTTTATTTGAGCTTTATGGAAGATGGAGTATATGAGACTGATGTGAACCACAATTAAATTTGCAAAATAATTTTTTATCACTGCATACCAAATATTAAAACTCTTGCACTAGTTTTAAACTTATAACATGTTGACTATATCAACTTTGTACAAAATTTTACCCAATATACTCTCAAGGATAAATCCATACATAAATGAAATTGTTGGGGACCATCATTGTGGGTTTCAACATAACAGATGAACTACTGATCAGATTTTTTGCAGTCATCACATATTGTAGAAAAAAGGGGAATACAATGAGATAGTACATCAGCTATTCACAGGCTTCAAAAAAGCCTATGATTAAATAAGGAGGTAAGTATTGTACAGTATTCTCAGAGTTTAGGGTACCCATGAAACTAGTTAGGCTGATTAACATATTGTGACGTGGATGCCGCAACAGGAAGTAGGGGTCACGTGAACTCTGCGTTTCCGCGAGTGAAGTCACGTACCCCCACTCTTTCCATCATTATGGAATGCTTGGTAAACACCCCTCCCCACTAGGCTGTGCAGCGACTGTTGCTAGGCAGTCGGTAAACATGGCGATTACGCAACAGGGAAGCGAGTTGCATTTTCTGCTGTCCGGCTAAAGGTTTATAGAGAGACTGGAATGCCTAAGCAGTGCAGTGGAAGTCTAGCATTCGCTGGAGCAGTTGAAATATAATAGCAGTCATGGGAAGAAGAATGGAACGTGTGTTGTACTGAAGATAGTGTGAAGAGATTTGTGAGTAGGGTTTGTAAAGTGTGTAAACCCATAACAGTGTCATAAGTATTTGTAGTTAGACTTTTAGGTTGTTAAATAAACCAGTTAACAATCTGAACTGTATCTCCAGTGGCAAAACATGTTACAATATGTGTAAATGAGACCCATAGTAAATTCCATATGGGTAGACATTTGTCTGATAAATTTCCTATCCAGAATGGTTCAAAACAAGGAGATGCTTCATCATCATTTCTTTTAAACTTAGAATCTGCCATTATGAAGGTCCAGGAAAACAAGGTGAGACTGAAATTAAATGGGACACATCAGTTGCTGGTCTATGCTGAAGATGTGAACCTATTGGGAGGTAGCATAGATACCATAAAGAAAAACACAGAAACTTTAACTGACACGGGTAAGGAGGTTGGTCTAGATGTAAATGCAGAGAGAACTTAAGTGTATGTTGTTGCCTTGTCACCAGAATGCAGGGCAGAATCATGACATAAAGATAGCTAACAGATCCTTTGAAAATGTGGCACAGTTAAAATATTTGGGAACAACAGTAACAAAAATTGCATTCAGGAGGAAATTAGGAGGAGAGGGAATTCAGGTAATGCTTGGTACCACTCAATGCAGAATCTCTTAGTCTCATCTGCCATCTAAAAACGTAAAAGTTAGAATGTACAAAGCTATAATTTTGCCTGTGGCTATGAAATGTGGTCTCTGACATTAACCTCTAACCTCCGAATGACACATACTTGTATATATGACGCAAGCAGCAACCAGAGTCGGCCGAATGACACATATATATGAAGCAGGACACATGCACTCTTTGGGAGTGCTGACAGTTTGACCTTCGGTTTGAAACCAAAACAAACCTACATGAGGTATTTCAGTGGTTCATTCCTTAGCTCTGAACAAAGAACTCGTTTATCAAGTACTGGTTTCAATACTATTAACGTTTAGATATGACTGTTTATGACCTGGTCAGCCAAATATAGCCCAGCTTTGTTTCGAGAACTGATGAGGAAATATTCTTCTGTGCTTGCATGTGAGTGCTTCCAGAGCCTTCAAGGAAGTGTGACACATGCAAGGATTGGTTTTCAGTGGCGAATTATCAGTTAGGAAGTCAGTGTTGGATTGTCTAATATTTCTTTATCAGTTAAAAAGTTCATGTCAGACTGTCATATGTTTCTTTGTATATTATTTTTATTTTGTGTCTCGGAAGAGGTATAAACCGACTGAGCCAGTATTACTTTGTGAGTAAAAGGCATCTTCGTCACTGACTTTCCGTATCGGTGTCTGACTGACACCTTTTCGACTACTGTTACAGTTATTATTTTTTATTGCTAGTGGGGTGGGACTAAGTCCCTTGTACTGCTGCCACTTCTGGCCTATTGTACCATACTATTACAGTTACTTTGCATCACTATTTTTGCGAGTCTTTGTCAATCAACATAATTTATTCGATTTTGCTGGAAGCCCCCCCCCCCTCCCCCAAGATGGAACGTCAAAAACGTGCCCGATATTCCAAACTTCTCGATGCAGAAGAACTGGAGGAAATATTGATGGAAGAGGAATCTGATGAAAAGTTAGAAGATATCAGTGAGTTCATTGAACCTCAAGCAAATATGTTGCCGTCGTCATCATCATCATCCTCAGACGAGGCAGAGGAAACGGAAATTAGGTTTCGTGATAGAAGACCCTGGGATTCGTCAAAGGTACTAGACTTCGCTGGTAGTCCGAGTGGAATCAGCAGATCAGCTGCTCCCAATGTAAATGCACAGTCCTCTCCTTTTTCCATTTTCATTCTGTTTTTCCAACAAATATTCAAAATCTTGTTACAAGAAACCAACAGATATTTCCACCATGTTGTATTTTAGCGTCCTGTTGCACTGATTTTCATCCATGATATGTATACAGTTGCCATCTTGTAGTGCACTCAATTTCACCTGTTACTTCACGACGTTTCGGCAATATAGTGCCATCATCAGGTGCCCTAATTACGCTAATCTATTTCATTGCTTGCCTTTATAAAATTATTTAAAAAGTGTGTATTTGTCAACTATAATAAATTTACACACACTAAAACTTATTAAGATTATTCGTCTTTTGTGTCATAATTAAGACTTGCGTGTGGTTCTTCCACTGTGGGGGTTGTTTTTCTTATATTCTCTGTAAACTGTGTCTTGTGATGTGTGTTCCCTTCTTAGCTGCAAGTCGCAGCTGGCTTCCCACCGTGGTGGCCCAGGTTCGATCCCAGGTCTGATCAAGTGGGATTTGTGGTGGATAAAGTGGAGCTGGGGCAGGTTTTAACCGAGTACTTAGGTTTCCCCTGCCAATGTTCATTCCACCAATTGCTCCACAATCACCCCTACCCCCACCTATCATCTGGGGCTGGTACAATAGGCCAGAAGTGGCCACAGTACAAGGGACTTAGTCTCACCCCACTAGCAATAAAAAAATACTTAACATGTAAACAGGCTGATCTCACCTTGTTGCATTTCAAAAACTGTAATTTGGTATAAAGTTTTATTTGTTAATTTATCAGAATTCAGAGACCACAGTAAATTCTGGTTGTATATGCTACTGAATTTGTGTTTCTGTGTTTGCCTATATTTATGGATGACTACAATGCAGACTCAGTTTTGCCTAAGGGGCATTAACAGCTGTCTACTTCACGTATTTCCATTGAAAATCATTTATATTTTATTTCAAATGTTCTCACATGACTGGTAACAAGACGAAATTTAATGTACAGAGATACTGGGTTTTCAGACTTTGTCCATCGTCTGGATTCTACATAATTAAGAAAAAACACAACGTTTCGGAAACTGGATCTGTTTCCGTCCTCAGGTGAGGGAAGACACCTACTCTCTTGAGTCCCTTTGAAAGAGCTAGCCTCAATCATGCATCCTCATGTCCAGTGATTGAGGCTAGCTCTTTCTGAGGGACCCAAGAGAGTAGGTATCTTCCCTCACCTGAGGATGGAAACAGATCCAGTTTCTGAAACATTGTGTTTTTTCTTAGTTATTTAGAATCTGGATGGTGGACAAAGTCCGGAAACCAAGTATCTCTATGTATTATACACCATCGTCAGAACCCTATAGAAATTTAATGTGCTTTCATTATGTAATATCTGAAGCTTTCACAGCAGCTAAAGTTGATAAAATCATCTTAGGTCATCAGCTGTATCAGTATTATCAAGATAATAGTCCAAGAAGATTTTATTATGCAGTTTTCTATGTTCTGTGCAATAACCAGCTGGACAGCTAAAGGTACCAGAAAGTTATGGTCCTCCATTGCATATTTACAATTGCATGTACCAATAGCACCTTTTGAAGATTTAATTTATGGACTTGTAGTTACATCCAGTGCAGTCTTCTTTCATATTGTACCTGTCTCTTCCAGATTTCTATGCAAATTACTCCTGACATCTTGTTTGTATAGTTACATTATTATTCTAACATTTTTACTGTGTGTGGTATAGCATTTTGGTTCTCCCATATGGTAAATATATAACTAAATGTTTTGGTGAGGCCCTTTTCACCAGTGGTATGATGGATGAGAGAGAGAGAATGTTATGTTATGTTTTCAAGGAACTAAATTAATGTAAAAAATAATAAAAAGGATTTTTTCACTTTTTTTTAGATTGGTTGTTTTGTTAAGGATGTCTGTGGCTTATATCATGAAGCCATCTGTAATAATATTTTTGTGTATAAGGTCCTGCTTATTCTAATGATTGTTGATTAACCTTTACTGGCCATATGTGAGATTTGTTTGTAGGTGCACTGGATAATCAGATGGCTAAGCATGACACTTTTATTACGCCCTAGTTAAAATGTGGCCTGCAGACCTGTCAATGTGGAAGATTTGAAATCCCCTATTCTCTGACAATAAACTGTTCAAATTAAGTCATGATTGACACCTCTTTGGTACCAGGAGATTTTCAGCCTCTTTTTCTAGATGATAAAGGTTAACATGAGCTTGCTTACACAGGACATATTGTTCATACAGGTGCATTTCGCTGCTTGGTGGAGGGTGGTGGCCAAGTTGCTTTCCTGAAGCACACAACAGTTATGGAAAACACAGATGGGAAGAGGAAGGAGTGGTGGGCTCGGAATGCTCTCACAGAAGATTATGAACTTCTTTGTCCTGATGGTGTGTAATTTGTTAAGTTGCTGTTATTAATTTCTACCATATTTTTGCACAGGAAGTCCACTTCTTTCAGTCCTTAGTTTCAGTATGATAATAGTGTCATGTTTTGCATGTGTGTCAGTTCATTTTGATTTTCAAATTGCCATATATACGTGGTGTGTTCAAAAAGTATTGAACCTTCTTTTTTTCCACGTAAACCAATGAAGCGTGGGAGGCTCCCTTCGGTGGAAATGTGGAGGGGACATTCATGCGCAGTCGTGAATTTTTTCCCGCCCACAGAAAGCGCCAGTCACTGGCAGTCGGCCTATGAGTGAGGATGTGTAGTGAGCGCTCGTTGGATTCCAGTAAGGTGTAAAATGACAGAACAACATGAGTAGCAATATTGCATCAAATTTTGCCAAAAGCTTGGCAAAGATTCGCAAGATTCAACAGGCTTTCGGGGACGATGCCATGAGCAACTCACGGATAAAGGAGTGGTACAACCACTTCAAAGATGGCCACACATCAGTGGACAGCGAACCGTGTTTAGGCAGACCCTCAACAAGTCGAACTGATAATGTCATTGAGCAGGTGTGGACTTTGGTCATGGAGGACCGTCGTATCACAGTCCGAGAACTTGCGAATGAGATAGGGGTAAGCATTGGATCGGTACATTCAATTTTGACCAAGGATTTGGGCATGAGGAGAGTGTCCACGAAATTCGTACCGAAACTGCTAACAATGGAGCAGAAGCAACGCCATCTGGAAATCTCACAGGACATGCTGGACAATGCAAGCAGTAACCCCAACTTTCTGAACACCATGATCACAGGCGATGAGTTGTGGGTTTATGGGTATGACCCGGAAACCAAGATGCAGTCATCACAGTGGAAACATCCGACATCCCCGAGGCAAAAAAAAAAGCACGGCAGGTCTGCAGCAATGTCACGGTCATGTTGGCCATTTTCTTCAACTCCTGTGGGGTTGTGCATCATGAGTACGCACCATAAGGCTAAACCATCACAAAGGAATACTACCAGGAGGTCCTTCGTCGCCTTTGTGATGCTGTGCAGCGCAAACGACCGGATCTGTGGACAGCAAAAACTTGGCAGCTCCGTCATGATAACGCACCTGCCCATTCTGCGCATCTGATTCAGACTTTCATCACCAAACACAACATCCCTGTGGTTCGTCAGGCTCCATACTCCCCCAACATGGCTCCATGTCACTTTTGGCTATTTCCCAAGCTGAAAATGCCGCTGAAAGGAACCCAGTTTGAGTCAAGAGAAGACATCATGCGGAATGTGAAGGCCCGGCTGATCACCATTCCAAAAGACGCGTTCCAGAAGTGTTTCCAACAATGGCGGAAGCGCTGGGAGAAGTGTGTGCATTACCAAGGAGACTACTTTGAAGGGGATTAGGGTTTTGTACCTCCAAATCAATAAATGTATTTCTGCCGACCAAAGGTTTGATACTTTTTGAACACACCACGTATGAGGGCTATTCAGAAAGTAACCTCCGATGAGCTGTTAACAGAATAAACAATGAGAAAAAAAAATATTGTGGCATATAGGCCCATTGCTAGGCAACGGCCATGAAATAAGCAACAATTCAACAGTCGTTACTAAGCCGCAGCCCATAAACAGCAACAGAAGAATGGTGTTTTCTCTGCAGTCTGTGCTGAGATGTTATAAGCAGGGCAGGTTAGTGGAGTGAGTAGAGATGAGTTGGTTGGTGAGTTAGTGAGTTAGGTAACCACTGGTGTTCAGTTGTTGTGAGCTGTTGCTGTGAGAATCTGGTAGTTGAGGCAGGGACAGTTGGGGAACCCAGAGGAAGGGCAGTTGTCCACTGTTGGAAGCCGCTACCAAGCAGTGGCAATGAAGACATGACTCGATACTTTTGTGCGTGTGTTTTTTTTGGGGGCGGGGATCACTGTGTCTAAAGAGTCCAATAAATCCTGTCAATATTCAAAATCCCGTCTACTGTCTTGCGACAGTATACAAAAAATATGTTCATACTTAGGCTACTCCTCAATGTAGTCACCACCAGAATTGAAGCACTAGTATCAGGGAACAAGATTTTGTGTGTCTGTGTTAAAGAAGTCTACAACCTGTGAGCTCAGCCACGTTTCGAGACCTTCCATAAACTCATTGTTGAAATGCTATGAATCCAACCAGTTCTTCAGGTAGGTAAGCAGGTGGTAGTCACTGGGGGGCTTTAAGGAGGGTGGTCAAAGAACCCTAGTTGAAATGTTTCAGCAGTCCTCAAGTGTGAGCAGCTGTATGCACACTTGCATTGTCATGGAGGGTCACTACACTGTATGTCAGCATTCCATTCCTTTTGTTCTAAATGGCCCTATGCAGTTTTTTAAGTGTTTCGTGCAGTACACTTCTGGCATTATTGTGGTTCATTGTTGCATGCATTCTGCCCTCAGCATTCCCTGCCTGTCCCAGAAAACAGGTGCCATCAGCTTTCTGGCAGACAACATTTGTTTAAACTTTTTTGCCTCTTTTGGTGAATGTGTGTGCATCCACTGCTTGGACTCCTCTTTGGTTTCAACATTCACCTGATGAAACCCAGGTTTCATCACCTGTTGCTCATAGGATATCATTGAGAAACTCATCACCATCTTTGTGGTACTGATCTATGAAAATCATAGCCATTATTTGTGTTTTGTGCTCAATTGTGAGCATTTTTGGAACCCATCTTGCACAAAAATTTTGATAGGCTGGCTTGAATATATTTTCTTAGAGAACAGTGTGTGAAATTTGTGGGAATTCACACAAGTTCTGAAATTGTGAAGAACCATCTTTCTCAAATTTTGTGGTCAACACTTTGAGCAAGATCATCACTCACTACAGATGGCCAACTACTTCACTTTTCAACATGAACATTTGTTCGCCCATCTTTGAACATTCTACACCATTGTCTTAGAGTTCCTTTAGTCATTACATTTTGGCTGTAAACCTTGCATAATTCACAGTGGGTTTTTGCAGCACTCATGTTTTTAGCATGAAGAAAGTGGACAACAGTGTGAATTTTGCATCTGGTAGGATTATCAATTGCAGGACACATCATAACTCACTCTGTAGAGACAACAAACACTAGGTGACCAGTATATGATGGTTTACAAGGCAATGAGTCATGTGATGTGACCTTGCATGCACAAGCTCTTCATCGCTCCTACATCAGTAGCCTAAATAAGCAGAAGTTACTTTCCAAATAGCCCTTGTATATTACATATAGCTGTGTATGCGTGCCTTACCCAGGCATGTGTGCATGTGTACAGATGTTTCAGAAAGGTTGGATCATACTTACACCATGTATTCAGGTTTGCCAAGACCATGATAAAAGTTCCTATGGATGGTAGGTTCACAAATGACTTTTGAATTAGTTGTGAGCAAACATGTTTATTGTTTACCTTGCTGTTCCAAATGTTGTACACCCTGAAAATTGTTATGGTGAAGCATTCTTCATATAGCAGAGAAAGAATGCAAAGGCTTTTTCTTGGATAGTGATCTGTGACATTCNGTGGGGGGGGGGAGGGGGGGGACAACCTGAGTCCCATAATCTGTGGTCAGTTTGGAAAATCATTTTGTAATTCAGCTGTTGCCAGTTTGGAATATTCTGCATAAAGTCTTGCGGCTGTACAAGAATCTCCTTCTCACTTGATCATGGATGAAATGCATATCTGCCATTTTAGAAAACATGTAGAATTATGTTGTGGTTCACAGATAAGCATAATGTACATGTAAGTGCCTGTCAGTGAGTACTGCATAACTGTTGGATGTCAACAGAGGTAAGATGTAGTGTAACCATGTTTTAAAAATGCATCCCAGGTGAATGTGATGACTCTTGAGCATCTGTTGTATGTGTTCATAACTCATTTTGAAGTCATTTGCAGACCTGCATTCATGGAAGTGTTATTCCTCATCTCATTCCATGTATGTGTGATATACATTTGACCCAACCTTTTTGTAACATTCTCTATGTGTGCACATGGAGTTGCAAATTTTCAAATGCTAGGTTATACCACAAATTAGGCTATGGCTGCTTGCTTCCACAGCCTTTAAATTAATATTTCATTAAATTCTTCACACTTTTGACACTACATACTCATGAGACATGATGGTGTTTGCTACATAAAACACAGATGGAAGAAATGTATATATATATAGTCATGAAATATTGAAAAACATATATTTCTTCTATAAGAATAAAAGCAGAAAGGTTTGCTTCAGTTTGGGGTGTACAACAATATCAAAATATATTATTTGTGATTTTGCATCCCTTAATGATCTTTCATTAATTAAATCTTTATCTTTAATTGAAGAAACATCACTTCTTCCAGAAGATAGAAGCAGCAGGTACCTCCAGAACACTGGTAACTGCCTACACAGCCACACGATGTAATAACCCAGAAGATCACAATCAAAATTTATTGATTTTGATTCTCATTTATTATTTTTCACACCCATATGTTGGCATTTTCATCAGCATCACTCTTACTCTTGTACTGTATTTCTTCAAAATTTATTTCAGCTGGTCCAGTAAATGTTGCAGCCTATGCCTAAACCTCCCAGGTTGTTGTTGCCTTCAAGATATTTGACCGAAGTTCTGTATGCATTTCTTCCCCAATACAGCATGTGATGTCCATCTTTTCCTTATGATAGCACATGTAGACACATTTTTTCAAAACAGTCATAAGTTACTGCTCTATAAATGAGTTTTGAATTTGGACACCAAAGTGTGTTTCATAGTCAGACCGAATTACTGTGAAGTTTTGTTCATTTGTAGGTACCCGTGCTCTTATGCAAGAATATGAGAAGTGCAACCTTGGAAAAGTCAAAGCAAATGCAGTTGTGGCCCGAGGTGGTAATGGCTACAATGAGACTGAATTGAATGCATTTATAAATCTCTTTATTTATGCACAACAGTTTTATGGACGCAGAGACCAGGATGACTTCAGGTAGAATTTAGTTTTAAGTCTTATTATAACTGAGTTCAGAATATCAAATTGCCTTTGAAATTTCAGTGTACATGATTACGGTAGCAAAAGGTAGAAAAATGTTAGTCTTTAGGTACCATTCATTGTAACTTTTTGCAGAAAAAGTGCATCTTAGAAGTCAGATTTGTTCTTTTAACCTTAGTAAAAATTACCTGGATTAAGAGCATTTTAGAACAAAGTGACAGAGGTAATACTGAACCTTAGAGAGGACGAAGAAAAATCACATAATGAGAACCTTCATCATGTATACTGTTCACACATCACTATTACAGTTCTGAAACCATGGAATATAAAGCTGAACACAGGTAATATCTACTAGAGAATATAAGAAATACTTGAAAGACCTAGGCACAGACCTCAGAATATTACTAAATGCATTCATAAACAAATAGAATATGAGAGTAATAGAGAAATTGAAAATACCTACATCTGGATGTGTAAAATGCAATAACACAACAGGATGCACTCCTCGAAGATTAAAAATGAAGTGAGTCCCATTCCATATTCATAACATCATGCAAGACAGAAAACATCGCTTACATTATTGTTGTGTTCTCTCACTGCCATGGGAACATGTTTGTTTGCAGAGCCATTAGCAGTGGCTGTTGTTTCCCCTGCCAATTGTATAATTGCTTGTTTTGTGGTATTTGCCTAGCAACTGGTCTGCATGCCACAACATTAACTAATCAGTAACAGACGGATGATGAGGTGTGGTCTTCCATCGGAAGAGCCTAACAGCCCTTTGCCATTAAAATTAGCATTTTATGGGTGTGTTACCATTTGGGAGACCTAGATGTATGTTGAAGTACAGTACTGAAATACATCTTAAAGAAACAGGATTTGATGATGTGGAGAGAATTTACCCATTGCAGACCAGGGATCATTGGCAGGTTCTTGTAAACATGGGGTTCTTCACATACTCTTTCACTTAGGTATTCTTTAACACTGCAAATGCTTGTTATTTGGCACCAAGACACCTGGAATTCCCATGCAACCGCCAAAAATTTGGAAGAAAATTTATCATTTTTGAAGAGACTTCATAAGATTCACCTGACATGCATTAATTCTTGTAGTAGGTGCTGGTTGAATTGATTGTCACGCTACAGTATATCTGCAGTGCACTTCATTTTGATAGGCTTTTCTCACTGTATAAACTTGTCCACTGAACTGCTATATTTGGTTAATGTAAGAATTTTGCTCATGCATCCAGCAGATCTATGTAACTGTCACACTCCATTCACCATACATTCTGTGTAACTAGGAGTTTATTGTAAGTATTTAGCCACAAATGCTTCCTTTTATCATTCCCATCATCCAATGGACTTTCTGCTGGCCATTTCATTGCATCAGGAGTATGGTAACACCACCTACTTTAAACTTCACAGGGGTTTTAAATCTCCCAGAGGTGCCAGCTCCATTTTAATTCAAGGTTAACAGTTTATCATCAGGGAATAGGGGATTTTAAATCTGACACTTCTGCAGGCCTGATAGTCATATTTTAATTCATTGCTAACAGTATCGTAGCATGTAGAGACCAGTTGCTAGGTAACGACCATGAAACAAACAACGAAACAATGTCTGCTGCTAGGTAACAGATTCTTAACAAGCAACAGGAGCTGTGTTTTCTGTGCGGTCCATACCAAGATGTTGTAACCAGGACAGTTTGAGCACTATCGGGTGTAGGATATTACCCAGATGGCGAGAATGTCAGCACAGAAGATGAAGAATCTCCATTGGTAGGATTAGTTACCAGGCAATGACTGTTGGGACTGTAAAAGACTGAAAACACTAGTGTGTGTGTGACAATGAACTGTAAAGTGTAGTTACGAGTTGTATGTATAAGTGGTCAGTAAATCATATATTCAATCCAAACCCCATCTACAGTCGCACTCCGTCATGTGACAATATTATTGAAAATGTGTGACAGGTGGACTGCACAGTGTGCTGATGCAGTAATGTCACACAGTGGTAAAGGTTAATTCTTCAATCTGATTGTAAGAAAATGAATTGTTGTATGATCATTGCATCCATTGTAAAGACAATACCCCTAGTCTGTTTTGAAGAGGAGCTGAAATAGCACAGTCAGCACAGTGCTACGCTACAGGTTGGACAGCCATGGACTCTATGATTCCTGGAAAGGGTACAGAGATGTTTCTCTTCTTCACAGTGTCAAGACCAGTTTCCATCTATTGGATACCAGGAACTATATTCTTGGGTGTAAGGCTGACCACTCGCCATTATCTAGTGCTGAATTTGGGCTGCGCCATAGCTCAAGCGGTTAGTCGCTGGCTTCCGACCGCGGTGGCCTGGATTCGATCCCGGGTCTGGTCAAGTGGGATTTGTGGTGGACAAAGTGGTGCTGGGGCAGGTTTTTTCTGAGTACTTTAGTTTCCCCTGCCAATCTTCATTCTACCAATTGCTCCACAGTCACCCTTACCTATCATCTGGGGCTAGTACAAAGTACAAGGGACTTAGTCCCACCCCACTATCATTAAAAAAATTAGTGCTGAATTCAGAATGAGTGGAGCTATATGTCAAATCGTTCATACAGTTTCATGGCATGATACCTACTTAAGCAGAGACAACTTCACTTTCTGTAGTTTTAGTGTAGTATGTATGGGTTATGTTTAATATAATTTTTTGTTTAAAATTTTGGTGAATGGAATATATTTGGTAGTCTTTTCAAGCTGATTTGAAGCTCATAGAACTGCATTGAAGTAAACCTCGGTTGAGGTTTTGAATGTACAGTTTTTTAATTACTGCAGATTGTTCAATTTGTACATTATCCATGCATATTTTTTTTAGCTTTTTACTGATTGTTGTATTTATTAAAGATTTTCTAGAATCATATTACAGAATACTTAGGTTACAGGAGATGAAGATTGAACATTTCAAACCCTATCCCCATTGAAAATAAAGTGTACTACTAGTGTGTGGCCCCAAAATTAGTCACGTACGAGTTCAGAATAAGAATTTTACCATCTGCAGTTTTCCATCATTTTCTGTCATTCAGTAGCCCAGATAGTTGAGAGTATAATTACTGTAAAGGTAAGGTACACCATGAAGGTGTATGGTGGAGTGGATGTGTAGCTCCTCATTTTCTTGATCTCAGCACTAGTTGGAGCTGAGTGGTCACCTTCATGCCCCTGCCACTTTACCCTCTGGGAAAGAGCCCCTAGTACCCATTGGCTAGGAGGCTGGGTGAGCCCCAGAGCTGGTCTGATTGCTGTGGAGAAGAGAAAATTCTTGATCCTACTGGGACTCTAACTCTGACTATCCCGGTTCCTGTATAATTACTGTATTAGATTTATTCTGTCACAAGATAATACTCAGAGGTAGGTAAAAAAATGTATACTTCACTGCTTAGTTCGTTTACCAGTTTTAGGGCTAATGGATCTTAATCGGGTTACATACACAGCCAGTTGCTTTATACTAGCCGAATGGATTTGTTTTTATTCGTTTTGTATAGTTGGGGCCGTCCCATGTCACCTGTTGATGTTTCATTGCAAAAAGAAAAAAAAACATGAAAAATTTAGAAGGAAAAAAGGCTGCTATTAAATCTCAAACATGGAAAATCTTGTGTATTAATTTTTCTTCATTATTATTCTGCAGTTTTGGCATGTTCTACTCACCACCTCCCTTTAGTGATCTGATATTTCAAGATGCGGCCCAACAGTTGCAAGTGATTGATTCATCATATCGCAGCTATGGAAGATACTTGGGAAAAGACTTCCTTCGAGCTCGCAGAGTGGTAGATTGTCATGCAGGAGCAACTATTGTTAAACTGTCTGTTGTATGGATCTGCATTAGTACAGGTCTGTCTATTCTGATGATCTAGGACAAGTTTGCCTTGGTGTTTCATGTTTAGTGAGGCATTTGTTGATTATGAGTATGTCAGTAAAACACTGGTAAGCATGGAGATGTGGATATCATTGTTCAAGAATGTTGATTATTTTGTGATGTTTTAGAAGTGTTTATATGGTATGTGTCCATTTTACAAGATGATCTTGTTTTACTGGAGAGGAGATTCCTATATGTTAACATTTACAAATTAATGCATATGTAACTCTCCTGCAAAATTAATAGAGACAAGTGCATGTCTTTTAAAAGAATATAAATTACTTGAATTGGTCCCTGTAAGCAATGCCTTGTACTCACACATGGGAAGGTGAATGATATTAGAGTGTATGACTTAATGAAGAGTAAGTTGGAAATTGTTGTAATTCAGCATTTGTCTGCTACTGAACCTTCCAACTGCAAAATAAATTTGGTGTGCTTATGCGTGTAATGATTTTTTCCACTGTTCTTCATGTACTCAAGGACTGTTGTATTTTTATAATATTCCGTCCATTTTATACTAACATTTTGTACAAGTAATTTTATGTCTTAGTACCTTCCAGGATATATGAAATAACAATTTTCTACCATATTAACTTGAATATAGAGCAAAGTTTTTTAAACACTGCTTCTTAAGAAGAAGAGTTGCCTTATTTTCAGGTTATTATTATTATTGAGTACCTGGAATTAATTAAATAATTTTCCTGGGGAGTAAAGCACGGCCGACGCATAAGGCTGACAACCTTACTGCCATCTTTGAGCCAATTGTCTAGATAATGTGGGACCCTCGACATCTCACAATCCTATGGGCCTTCGAGGCCTGTTGCAGGGATAGCTCTACTTTACTTTACTTATTATTATTAATATTAATAATATAAGTTTAAGGTCTTTCATTCTGGTCCGTCACACTAACCAATTAACAATCAAGTTGGCAGACAAGGCAGGTGCTGACGAGGTGGAAAACTTAAAAAAGTGTCACATTTGACGGAAGGAACTTGATTGTTGATTGTTGATTGTTAATAATATAAGTTTCACTTGCAGTTCTAATGATATTTTGAAAATTTCTTGGGTTGCCTTATATTTGGGCTTATGTGTAATTATTGAATCTCTACAGTTTCATACAAGTAAGATCTGTGAAGAGTTCTATCTTCTGGGATATAACACGACATAGTGCGTTGAAAATCAAACGGTGTTCTGAAGGAACATGATGCCTCCATCTTCAGGGTCTAAGAACGAGCCAAGGAAGAAAGCAGCATGAAGCAGGTAGCTAGCAGAGCGTTTATTCTCCTTGCAACCTGCTTCATACTGGTTATATTATTCTGTCCCAGAAGATAGAGTCCTTCATGACCACCAATGTGAGAACCTCAGATACTACCAGATAATGTATATTTAAGATAGTGAGAAGTTTAAAATATTTTTATTTTATAGTACATACGTAATCAGTGACAGTGTTCTCCTTTTTTGGGGGGCAGGGATTATCAAACATGAATTCGTAAGGTGTGAGGTTTTCATGAAGGTATGTGTTAAGAATTGTTTCATGTTAGCTGATTCATTAAATATAAATACGTAATATATTTTGATACTGATATAATATACAGGTTAATCCTTAAATGACATCATGTTCGTACATTCCTTTTACTGTTATCCAACTGTGTGCTGTGTACTCTTGAAATATGACATACATGCAAAATGTCTAGAATTTGCAGTTTATGAATGAAGTTGAAGCAACAGAAAGAACTCACTCTCAGTTTTGTCAGTTTCCTTTTCCTTCATGAACTTCTCCATATATAGAGTTGAATTTCAGAATTCTGTATTATTAAATAGTGATGTGAAGCACACTTTTCTAAGGTTGATATAAAATCCCAGCATAGAGAGAATGAAAATAAATGTTTCTCAATGATGGTACCATTAAGGATATATTTTGGACTCCAATAGCTTTTACATGATTTCTGCATCATTATTCAGACCAAAGGAACCATTTTTATTTATTTATTCTTTTTGTATAACATATTGTTAGTAATGTGCCGAGCTCCCATTTTAAGCATTCCATGCCAGTTGTGCATTCCAGTATTACAAATACTCTGTATATTTGCTGTGATGTTTCTTTTCAGTTACTGTCTAAATGATTTTTTTAAACAGGCACTGGCTAATGTTGCAAGTGTATGAATCTCATTATCTTTTTAAAAGGCCAGAAGAAACAGTTTTGGTCTTTTCCAGTTTTCTCTCTGTCTTGTTATATAGGAGATGTACACAGAGGGAAACATGTTAAGAATTATTCAGAGGAATGACACTTTGCCAAAATTTTCAGTTTGTCTGTGCACTACTGATATATATGTGTAAATATATATGTACTGACTGAATAAGTGAAGGCATAAGAAATTTGTAATAATTCTCTGCAAGACAGAATAAACTATAGTGAACTCTCAATTATCCTTGGTAATGAAGGGGAGAAGTAGCATGGATAATTGAAAACAGTTGTTAATCTAAAAATCTGGAAATATCCATCCCTGCTACATTTCAGTCCTCAAAATCACTTACTGTATACTGCCTGCTGCTGGTTATGAAACAGTGAGACAGTTATCTTTCAAGTAGAATAAAGCAGCCCTTGTTCAATGGTAAGATTGTTATTGAGTAAACAGTGGGAGAAATATATTTCAAACAGAAGAAAGCAACTCTTGTGCAGTACAAGATGAGATGTACGGTCTACTACAAATCACTATAAATATCACTGATACTTAATACTTAAACAGTTTTAATGGGCAACCATCATAAGGCACTATAAGCAATACCTAAGGGTTTTTGTAAGTTGCATGGATAATTAAGTCTGCTCTTCTTTGCCAAGGAAGTATTTTATTGACATTGATTTGCCAGTGTATTTCAGGCTTAGGAACTAAGGTGAATAAGAAAGTAAACAAGAGGCCTTAATTGTGTAATGTTTATTGCAAATAATTGCACATAAGAATGAAATGTGTCTTGTGTATGAGGGAGAGTCAGTAAAGGTCACATATGGATATAAAATGTACAACATGATATTTAAAACTGGAAAAAACAATAATTCTCGACATATCCTCCACCAACATTGATACACTTGTCCCACCTCTTTACCAGTGCATCGGAACTTGCCACATAGAAGTCCTTTGACTGTTGTTGCAGCCAATTCTGCACCTTTATTTCATCATCTGCGATTTTTGAACATCCTTGAGAGAATTTATTGACCCAGTTCTGAACCACTTTATGTGACAAACACTTCTCACCATAAACAGGAAACATTTCTTTATGACTAACCTATGTACTGAGTCCTTTTGCCCACAAAGAGACACGACAGAATGCTCCTCTTCCGTGTTACACTTCTCAAGCAAGATCGCCATTTTGACTACGGAAACCAGCCTCTGAACATGCGCATGAATATCTGCTACCTTGACTGGTATGAATGTGGACTGTGATGCTACCTGGTGATACATACAGAAAACCAATTATATCCATTACTGTTGTTTTACTGCCACTTTTGACCTATTTACCTACTCTACCTCATATAACTAGCTTGAAGGACCTGGCCTTGTCCAGGTTAAGTTTATGGTATCCTTCATTTTCCTCATAATGTTTAACCCTTTCACTGCTAGTATGTTAAGTAACTCTCAGTACCATGAAGAAAGCAGTCTTCTGGGATTTGGCACCGTGTATATGTGGTGTTAACCGACGTTTCGGAGGAACGTATCGCCTCCATCTTCAGGGTAGAAGAAAAAATATAAGAAATCTGCAAGCAAAGAGACCATGAGAACCGGTAAAACCTGAAGATGGAGACGATATGTTCCTCCGAAACGTCGGTTAACACCACATATACACGGTGCCAAATCCCAGAAGACTGCTTTCTTCATAGTCACCGCCGTGAAAGCCTCAGATCTTACAACTCTCAGTACCCTCTGTGCTGAATTATTTTTGAACAAATCTCTTATAAATAATTTTAAGTGCAAAATATGAAAATTTGTGATAAAATGTAACTAATCTTACCTCAGACAGGGAACAGGCATCAGAAGTTGCAAAAATGTTGAATTATTCAGTATTTTTCACAGGGAAAAGTCCATTTAAATCAGGGTTGTCCAAGATGGCCAAAGAAGTACATAATTCACTATCCTAGTCTTATCACCGTGTCACATGTTGACCAAAGTCTACAACTTTATTTAAAACTATTATAGAAAGCACCTCACACTATACGAAGCCATTTTTATTAGCCCTATGAAATACCCGCATCACATGACCACTGAGTGCATGCCTTCTGTGCAGATGCAACCTTTTACATTTCTGAAGCTAGAGGGCAGAAGAATGCATTCATTGAAATGAATGATGCTTCATTATGTTCCCAATAGATGACTTTATGCACCCCAAGTTGGGGTTTGACATTGAACTCGTAGAACTCTTTATCCACAGGGTTGCCCAGGCAAAATATGACATGCCCTAGTTCATGCACTGGACCAGTTATACCAAAATAACCAATGATGTACCCTGGTTCATGCACTGGACAGAGTATTTTAAAATAACTGCATATGTGTAAATTTACCTAATTACAGCCCATAAACACATTGTTTTATTTGTATTTTCCTTTGGTCATTTAGAAGGCGGCCTTGGCACGCACCTAGTCTTATCAAAATTTTATAAATGTGTACACTTTTAGTCTGAGGTATTTCTGTGATTTTTAGAACAAAATTCTAAATTACTTTCCCACATTTCTCTGAAATGTCACACACACACACACACACACACACACACACACATATATATATATATATATATATATATATCACTTTATTATTTGCCTAAACAGATGAAAATACATTGCGTCATAATCAGTGTAAGCACCTTTTGCTCCAGTCATTATGAACTTATCATCGCTACTCTGAGTTTGACAGAAATATCACTTACATGCAGGGCTTGAGGTGGGGCGGGATGGCATCCCAGTTCTTTTCTAAATGGTTTAAAAGCATCCCGTTACTTCTTTGGCAGTAAGTGCAATGTACAATACCTTTTTTGTTAAAAGGGGAAAACCATCCCGGTTCTATTTTCATTCCACCTCAAGCACTGCTTACCTGTAAATTGCCTGAAGTATGGCCAGGAAACTTAAGGAATGTAAAACTACACAACAAAAACCACCCAGGGTGCATACCTTTGTGTTTCCCTAAGTAATTATACCAAGTTTCAGTTTTCTAGGTCCCGTGGGTTTGGAGTTAGAGCACAACACACAATCCCTTTTATTTACATGATGATGATGATGATTAATGACCTACTTATGATTTATTTGTGACTTGTAATTTATATGAAATAATGCAAATATGCATGTCTCAGAATGTGGACATTTTTGGTGACATTGATGAACCTTAGGGCAGAAGTATTGTTGAACTCGTTCTTTATACACTGCACAGGGATGAACATGCATAATGATATTAAGCTTAAGCTCATGAAATTAGAGTTGGACAACGTATACACTAGATACAACATGATACAAACTGTAGGCCAAATCAGGTCTCAGTGTTATGGAAGTAACATATTGGTGCCATCGCTTGTCATATTTACTTTACTGTAAATCTTATTTTTCTCTTATCTTTATTAAAAATATCTGGTTCAGCTTGTATTCACAGATGAAGAGAAAATGTGCAAAATGCAAGCTCAATGCAACAGAATATGAGCTATGAAAGAAATGTATATTCAATTATTGCTGCAAAAATAGGCATATAGCAACTAGTATAACACAGAACTCTTGTATACATACAGTACTGAAGTATTTTCAAAGCAGTATCCATAAATATCATAGTTTCAGAGGATGTGCCACTGTGAACTTGCCAGATGTTTATCATCATTTCAGAGGAATGGCGGTAAATATTGGTACATAGTATGTGTGGCTATAGATGGGGTTTGGATTGATGAATAGATTTATTGACCACAGCTCGTAACTACAAATAACTATTACACTATTACTATTTCCACACCTTACAGTTCACAAAAGCACGCAGGCTAGTGTTCTCAGTCTGTTACTAGACGTTTCTTGGTAATAGTTCCAACAATGGTCATTGCTCTGACTCCAGCTCAAGTCCTTTCTTTGCAGACTCCTGTACAGAACTGATTAACAAAATCAAAGTAATTTCGAATTACTGTCAGTCAGTCTTGGTGTGGAGCCCCATGTGGGGCTCATGAGCAGATATTCATTGTTGTTTGACAGTTACAGTCTTGTTCTTTCGTGGGGGCACCCTCTCTGACGAGAGGATGGGTCTGTTTTGTATATGCTGCTGGGCCTTGCCAGCGCAGTCTTTCTGGAGTCAAAGCCCCTTGGGACTCAGGACCATATTTTACTGCCTCAGATTTGAGACTTCCCTTTTCGTTTCCTCCTACGACTCGTAGGGTCACGGTGGACGTATTCGACCCCGCCTCCACATGGTCAACTGATTAAACTCGAGTGAAAGTCACGTTGCGAGTGACGATAAGTCTGTAAGTCTTGATGTCGAGCCCCAGCAATGTTTCTCAGGTCCAATTCCCTTGGGACTCGCCACCATATTTTACTGTCTCAGATTCGATACTTCCATTTTTTTTCGCACCCTACAACTTGCAGGGTCACGGTGGAGGTATTGGGCCCCGCCTCCGCACGGGTTAACTGATTAAACTGACTTTGTCCCTCGGCACAGACCACAACAAAGACAGCTTTTCTATTGTTGCATTCGTGTCTGTTGCTGCGGGAAACTGTTTACCAAGCAGTTTCCCAGAAACTGCCATGGTATATCCGCCCATCTCACGTTGCTACGCACGCTACAGTATCTACCAAACTATGTGGCATCACATCCAAAAGGACAGTAGTGTTCACAGTCAACGCCGTAAGAGTAAAAAATCTGTTTTGCTGATTTTTTTGTTACAATTACCGTCATAGGTGCAAAGCGAAGTACACGGACCCAGCGACTGCCACTTGTCAGCTAAGTCAGCTAAATGAATGCAATTCTGTATACATATTTAATTTTTGTATGCGAACATACATTACTGCCAACATGAACTTATTGTAATTTACATATAAACCATTCTCAATTAAAAAATAAATAAATCTCTTCGTAGCAGTTGAGAATTTCTTCCATGTTTATAGACCACTGAAGCCGGGATAGTGTAGTTCGTATAGCGACTGGATACGCCGTGGACGACCAAGGATTTGGAGTTTTGAGTTCCACTAGGTGCAAGAATTTTCTCTTCACCACGTCGTCCAGAATGGTTCTGGGTCTACCCAGCTTACTATCCAGTGGGTACCGCAGCCCTTTGCCCGGGGTTAAGGCGGAAGGGGCGTGAATTTGACCACTCATCTCCAATGAGTATCGAGGTCTAGAAAACGTGGGATATAAGCATCCACTGCCCCATACGCGTTCATATCGTAATAGTTAATTAGTTAAGCACAGGAACAGTTTCAACTTTTTAACACAACATGGAATGAGCTCCTGATAATAAGGCAAGTCTTGAATAACTCCATGTTTAGGACGAGAACACACAAAGGAAACTGGCAACCGCAATGCAACCGAAATTTCCGAGAATTGTTTTCAGCCTGGGTTGAGCACAAGTTATTGCATGGAGCAGCGCAACGCAGTTTCCTCAATTTGCGCGGCTCCATTCAGTAACACGTGTTCAAGTCTGGCTAGTTACAATTCTCGGAAATTGCGGTTGCGTTGCGGTTGCCAGGTTCCTTGGTGTGCGCTCGCCCCGACAGACATTAGATTCTCCAGAGTGGTTCTGCTTTTGAGGTGCATTTTGTAATCATGAAACATAAGTCAGATGTAAACCCATACCTTCAACAAATTTGTTTCTGCTCAAGCATAGATAATGATGTATGAAGTAGAACAGGCTTTTCAAATATTCTGTAATCAGTATCCAAGGGACACGTGCCTATTGGGCTTTTAAGGTTGGTTGGGTCGGGGTGGGTTACACCAGGATCATTTTCTTGTGGTTAGTAGCGTTTGGTTGGTTTAGTTGTCCGTGGACTCAGGGCGGCCGAATCGGTGTGGTTGTATATGCTCTGCGTCTGAGATATAGAAATAGAATGTTCGTGTTTGTTGTACCATATGGAATCAAATATCTCCAAAAAATTGGTTCATATGCAGGAAAATTCGTCAGCATGTCATGATTGAATTAAAGAGCGCACTTTGGCACTGATTTAACTTTGTATATATTGCGGCATTCATGTGCTTCCAATCCGCTCAAAAATGTTGAAATTTAGTGAAAGTATTCTATGATAACGCTGTCAGGCGTGCCAGGTATAACATGAGGTCATTGAATGTTGATCTGTAGTTGATATTGAAGTGGCTGCCAGCTGTGCCGACATGGCAAAGGTATTGGACAATGCCAGTAAACTTGGGTTAGAGAAGTACCCTCGTCAGGAGTCCAGAGATATTCTTTATGGAACAGCAGGCTTTAGGACAAGGTGATAATTTAATATTACATTATCTTCATTGTCGTATTAGACTATTGCTTTTTCATCGTTTAAAAAATGAATACGCAACTCCATAAATGTTAGCAAAAATGACCAATTTCGCTGATCGTATTACGATATAACTTAATAAAATATTTTACACGATTATACCTTAATATCAGTGAAACATTCTTTGGTAGAAGTACAGAACAGGTTGTCGATTCCATACCTTATCACACTGTGTACACCCCAGAATTTAGGGGTACCGACTTATTTATACTAACCCAACCTTGTGAATTCATGTAATATGAAGTTGTAGTACTACTGGACCAGATGGCCGACAGTACAATTTAGCAGGTCAGACCACAGTGGCAGAGGTGAAGGTAGAGCATTATTGTGCTCTAAATAATGCTACAACATAAATATAGCTTTATGTATCAGTGTTAAGTTAGGTTATCACATGGGGTCAAGATTTAGTACTTACATTTAGCCTATTTTCCTTACCCTTTGAGGGAAGGTACTGAAGAAAGTCCACCTGCAGATGAGTCTGTTCATGCTCTGATCTACAGACATGCCACAAGAGGCCACCCACCTTTGCAGCTTTATAAATTTCCTCCTAACAGTAATGCAGGTATGACAGCTGTGTGAATTTTTAGGTTGACTTGATACTAGCACCTTTGAATATAGGATAGTGAGATTTTTCTTGGTAAAAAGCCTTTGAATAGTACACACTTTTTGTTTAAGTTTCATATCTTCCAAAATGTAAAACAACACCATGTAATATCTACCCAAAATCTGTACCTAGGTTTATTAACAGCAACGGCTAGAAACGGGACTGTAGGACAGTGTAATTAGGTGATGTTGCAGGAACTGTATACCTATTATAGAGGCTTACAAGTAGATGCTAAGGGTTCTGATAATGGTGTATAACATTCAGAATTACTGGGTTAGCCCCAGGGTTTCATTGACTTGGTCATTAATTCAGGATAGCAGTCATCCAAGTGAAGAGGAAAAACCTCTGGTCTCTATACATCCCATATGTGAAGGGTGTTTCAGAGAAAATAAAACATATAGGGAATTGATATAACATTAGGACGATCTTCAAAACTAAACACACTCTTAGAAAATCAGGCCAGACAGAGATTCGCAGCAGACAACATTATGCATCTGTAGCATTCCCTGTGAATATGGCAGAAGCTACAGTGGGGAAGCAGGCAGACCTCCAGCCATGGGGAAACAGGCAGACCTCTAGCCATGTGGCTGTGTGAACACAGGTACAGTCTCAAAGATGGTCTTCTAGAAAGATCACAATTAGCCCAACATGCCTATGAAAGGGTCATGGGTAGGCTGGGATAATCCTGGAATTTTTAAATTGAAAGTAACAGCAGGTATAGCAAATATAAGGAATCAGTCTATATGGCATGCTTAACCAATCTGATCAGCCAACCCAGTTTGCACATTTTTCCCCTTTGGATCCCCCTCATCAGCAGTGAGGTTACCAACTCACAGAGAAGATCTGTACGATGTGACAGATTCTTCATCGGTTTATGTAAGGTTTTAGTCTTGAGTGTTCAGATTTTACGTTGCAGGTGGTGCTTGTGGTAGGCACAATATGGTTCCACAAATTCTTTATTTAATACTATACATTGGTGTTTGTGGGCTTAGTTTGTTGGCTATGTTTATAGCATACATTTTTCTTCCTTTATTATCTTAGTTCAACAACTGTGCATGCTTTATCACAATTTTTATTGCAGATTGCCCTGTTATCTCCTTTTGACATATCCTCTACTGACAGAGGACTTGTGTAGGGCAAAAGGAAGAATTTTCAGTAACATGCTATATGTGCAAAATGTACACTTGACGAAAGGCCAAACATATTCATTCATTCTTCCTGTTAGAAAGAATGTTACATAAGGATTATTACTGCAAGAGTTAGCGGCCTCTGTAGTCTAGGGGTAATGTTCCCACCTCATGACTCAAGGTACGCGGGTTCAAACCTGGCGGAGGTCGTGGAATTTTTAAGGGCGGAAAAAATTCAGGGAACAAGTCCTCTGGGAGGGACTTTAAGCCGTGAGTCCCGTATCGTAGATTTACGGCACGTAAAAGAACCTCATGTCTCTAGGAGACCTTTGAGCTAAATTAGGTAAATTTTCCCGCCCAAGTAGTTTCCAATGCCTCCGGTAGATGGGGAAAGTATTAGGTACCACTGCCAGATGAGGATCGACCTCGCTGACAGAAAGGGACTAATTATCAGATACCACTGCCAGTAGTGGGCCGACCTCGCTGGCAGAAAGGGGCTGATAACGGGCACCAGTACCGGTAGGGTATGGAGACAGTAGAAATTAAAGGGGGATGCACAATGGACCAATAACTGATCTAAGTGCATGGGAAACCCACCTCCTTCAACAATGAATGAATGAATTACTGCAAGAGTTCAGTTGAAAATGAAATCACTGGTCATGGGTCTCAAGGGGCTTACGCCAAGACGAACTGATTAGTGTTAAATCACCAGTCCTCAAGTGACTTTGACTTTGACATGGGTTGTCCCAAACAACTTTCGTCACTCATGTAAAATATCAGGGTGTAATCTTTAATAAGAGGATTACATGGAGACTTAAAATAGAAATGACTGAAGCCAAGGCCTTCAGAACATTTATTAGAATCTGTTCCCTGTTCAAATATTAATGTTTAAACACCAACATTAAATTAACCCCCCACGAGGCACTGATCAGATCAGAATGACTTATGCTTTCCCCACCTGCAGATTAGCAGCATACACCCACCTTTTAAAATAGTGGCGCCTACAAAATAAGGTTCTCTCCATCATTGGACATTTTCCAAGGTGCACACTGGTCTGTGATTTACACATGGCTTTTTGGCCTTCCATGTATATACAAGTATATAAAAAAATTGCTCAGGTGACAAGCAGAAGTCATACAGAATCATGAAACTGAACATGTTTGTAGTATAGGACAAGGCAAAGCCAGACATAGAAAATATAAGATGCTTAAACATGGCAGTGGTCAGGTGACTAAGCTGCTGTTGTAGTATAAGATATGCAAGATAGGCATAATCTTCTTTGCAAAGCCTGTACTGACAGAAGACTTGTGAATAGTGCAAAAGGAAAAATTTTCAATAACATGCTATATGTGTGATACATACACTTGATGAAAGGCCAAGCTTGTTGATAAGAGACAACTACAGGAAAATCAAAATTGACGTGTGCAGAATAATCTACATACCAGACAGATATCAGCGAGGTAGATGTTGATAATAACGAAGAAAGTAACAGTGTGTTTTTTAAATGTTAAATTTTAGACTGGGTTCAGTGTGGCAGCAACGTAAGAGTATACACCTGATGATGGCTGTTAGAGGCCGAAACATGTAGTGTAGAAGAGAGCAAGATCAAAGACATATATATTGTTTGCACTTGGGACGGAGTTTGTATCATTTATCGTGTAGAGTGCAACAGGATGCTTAAATATAATATTGTAAAGAGTTTTCACCATTTTCTGTTTATATAGGGCGGAAAACCTTCCTCATATTCTGTATCGTGTTGGTTTATTGGCTGTTCTTAGATCAAAATCTAAAAGAGGTAAGGCTCCTATTAATATCAAATATATATTCTGCTGTATTGATATGAAATATTAATTTTAAGAAAGCATTATGGTAGTAAGTTGGAATTAACAAAATCTTGAATGAAATATCCTTTAACAAAATATTAGTGAAGTAATTTTAAGACACATTTTAGTAAAATATTACTGGTGTGTGGTATCATGGTAGTTTAAACCTTAAGGCAAAGAGACAGTGGATAGACTGGCAAATGGTTCTGAATACAAAAGGAAATGTTTCCATGAATCTTTGTTGAAAGTAGATGTATACATCAATCCATCTGTTATCACCTCTGAAGGTTTTGTGTTCATCATGATGATATGGCTATCCTGAATCTTCAGAACTTCTCTGATAAGTTTGAATTTATTTCAGTCATCTGTTCCAAATCATGTAATAAGTGTTTCTTGTGACCTCACTACAGTTATGTGCAGTTTGACCTTCTCATGGCAGTGACTGTGAAGATACTGGTATCTGGCATGTAACATTCTCTACTTTGGATAGAAGTTTAAATTACCCTAAAGGTGGGGAACAGACATTCTCTAACAATGTCAATAAACTTCAGCCATACTACACAGTTTCACATCCAAGAAGACAGTATTCTCTTTACATACCTTTCCATCCATGCCTGCTCACAGAATTGATAATGGAGGAGCAATATGATGGTCATAGATCTCTCAAATGGCTATTCCTCACTCTGTCTCTTAATGCCTTTGAATTGTATGTCAGAATATCAAGAAATTCAGATTGGTACCAGTTATGTTGTCCTAAATTACTGTTGTGTGGTCTTATGTTAGTTATGTTATTGAGCATCTATGTTATATGTAGGAGCAGCTATTGGGCTAATGATAACAGCATCCCATAACCCAGAGCCAGATAATGGTGTGAAATTGATTGACCCATTTGGTGAGATGCTACAGCAGAGCTGGGAGAAGTTTGCTACAAGACTTGCAAATGCTAGGTATTATTTATGTTTGTCTACTTTCATAGAAATATTGTATCAGTTGAAAGCTGTTAAGGAGAGGGTACATTTATAACCATTTATGGACTGAGTATTATGGTTTTAAGTAACTAACTCCACTGATAAGCTGACGATGTCTGTCCCATTATAGTGCAGCTGTATATGAAGTATGGTGATACCTTTAAAGCTTACTCCAGTGAAGAATGATTTTAAAATGATACCAGACTTTTAGTTCCATTAGGTACTCTGTTACAAAGAGAATCTTTTTTACAATTGAATCAGTAGCTTGTAATATTAATGTTTTTAAACTTTACCATTCTCAGCTGAATATGAATGTGAATATTTGTCAAGTCCATTAAATGAGATGAGGATTGTAGGGTATGAATGTCATAACAGAACCATAGTTATAATGCATAACCTTCCCACAATGCTGTTGCAGTCACTGTCCCACTACTTCTTGCCATACTTCTGCTCACTGACTACCAGGGGTAAAACTGCTGGTGCCTGAACCAGACCACTCACCTCTAACTAGTGCTGAGGTTAAGAATATGTGGATCTGTAGATCCACTCCCCCATATCTCTTCATGGCGTAGTTCTTAATTAGTTAAGTACAGGGACAACTTTACCTTTACTTCCCCTTACATGCAATCCAGAGGCCATGTCTAAAACCCCCCAAATAACAACAATAAAACAGTCTGTGTATACTGGCAACTAGTTAGGTGAAGTGAAGCTGCTGTTAATAGATGAAATTCAGTAGTAGATTGCTTGGTTATTTTGTTTCTGAAAACAGACTGCACTGTAAATACTGCAGTGAGCTCTGTACAAATAAGTCAGTTTAAATGGTTAGTATTGTCAACATCAACTGATGAAATAAAAGAGAAGAATGCCACTATACCAACAGGAAACATAAGGAACTCATGTACACATTAAGTAAACATTGAAGTATTTATTGCCAAACAACCAAGTGAGCAGAAACCATTCCAAAACCAGTTCCAGTTTTAATTATTTCTAAATGAATTGTTTTTGTTTCACAGTAACTGATTTATTATTGTGAGTAATCTGTAGTATACAGTTAAAGAGTATGGTCTTCTGGGTTTAATACTGTGCGTTTCACAGTGAGCCCAAGATTTCAGAAAAACATATCACCACCGTCTTCAAGGACAAAGACGAAACCAGCAGAAACAGGTGGCAAGTTGAACTTCNATTGAAAAAAAAAAAAAAAAAAAAAAAAAAAAAAAACGGAAAGGAAAGGAACATAGGAACATCATCTTTTAATATCTGTTTAAAATAGACATATTTTTCCATTCATTAACTCTCTGATAAAATTTGGAAATACTGTTTTTTTCTTAATTTCGTTCTGAACTCATCCATTAATATTTATTTTTTTCCATAATGACAGGTTCTTTGCACTTAAAACTTTTGTATATATTGTTAGATTCTTGGTTTGGTCTGTTTTCAGTTCTCATTGCTTTCCAGTGTAAATATTTAAGGAGTTGCCCTTAAATATTACATTCCATTCTTTTGATTTTTGTAACTTATGTGCCACCTGAACAGTAATATAACTGACAGGTATCATTGATTTTGATTTCTTGTGTTATCCCTCACATTGTGTATAATTTTGTCCATAGGTACACTAAAATCTAATGTAAACAAGATACTTCATTGCCAGTTAACTGACTGACTTACAGATTGGTCAGTCAGGCTCAAATGCTTGTAAGAGTTCAGAATTTTTATTGCATTACCACATCCATAATATGTCTGGAATGAATCCAGTCTGCTTTCCAGCATCTCTACCAGAGCTGGCTGGAACATGAAACTGGCTGTTAACCTCTTTATACTGCAGTTTTCTTCAGTACATATGCTCCATACATTCTAGACTTTGGAGATAAGTAGGCAGTTTCATGTTTTTATTGCTTTATCCCCAAAATGGAGCCCCATGTATCTGTTGGAAGAGTTACATTAAGTTTCTTTTTTGTTTTGTAGTGACACTGAACTGTATTCTGTTCTTCTTGCAATAGCTGAGGCAGAATCAATTGACTGGGAAGCACGGGCACTGATATGTGTTGGGCAAGACACAAGGTATAGTTCTCACATTTTATGTTTCTGTTGAACAGAATGCACACTTGAACATTACTAAGAAATTTTCAGGTTAAACATCCAGATAGGTTCAGTACACCTAGCCGCAGTAGTTCATTCAGCTCTTAGCCTGCAAAGTTGCAGATTTTGGACACAAAAATGTTAGATGTTATGACAGATGTTTGTTTCTTAACTCGCTTAACATTGATTGTGAATGGTAAGTTAGGAAGGATGAAGGTGAAAGTGAATATTGCTCTATAGTATCTGTGGAAACCACACTGTTGTGGTAGTTGATGAATTTGAGCTGGTATTTGCACATGAGTGGTAAATCCTGCAATACTCAGGACAGAACAAAGAAAATTGACACATACATCATCTCACAATTGTCAGAGCTTTGTCCAGACCACCATGTTTAACCCCAAGGCCAGATAGTAACACACCATGACAAAACTAAATATTCCTCTTTTAGAATGCACCTTGAACACTTAGTTTTTTCCTGTATCACTAGATGGTGTATGTAGCTATTTTTCTGTGCTTCAATGGTCATTTGCTACACATTTCTTTACCATGAATTATGACAGGCTGAAAGCGCATTGTGAAAAGTGGCTGGGCTGGAAGGTAAGCGAGCAGCAGTGTTCCCTTAATCATATGCAGAAAATAAAATTCAATTAGGGATACAGTATTTTAAACCTGGATGTTGTATTGGGTTGTTAAAAAGAAATTGCATATAGTTTTAAAATATTGCAAACACAGTATGTCTGGTCCAGTGCATGTGACAAATTTTCATTTCCAGTATAAATTTCCTGTTTAATGAAGTGAATTGATAAATGGGGAAGTTACATAGGCATAGAATATTTCTGGAGACAGGGACTAGCTCTATCAATTGGGCTGAACTGTGTAGGCTCTTACCTGAAGACAGAGACAGAATTCAGCTTCCGAAATGTTACTTTTAAATGAACAGCAGGATATGGATACTGTCTAGAAAGTCAATAATTGTATTAATATACCATTATAACAAACTTTTAGGCCTTATTCTCAGTGCTGTTATTATTTTATGAAGCTTTTAATGAAATTGCCTTCAAGTTCTTATCTCCCTTTGAAGTTCAGATATAATATTTATGCATATTGTGACATGTTGCGCAACGAAGGACCCCTACCTCCCCATCGGCACGTGGCGGTAACGTAGCGCTTGTAATAGGTGAGTCATCACCCCGCCACTCTCCCTGCGGTGACGTGCCGAGCGGAGCCGAAGTTAGCCGAGTCCCCGCAACCTGGTAGCTATGCAACGCGAGTCAACAGCGGTGACGTCACCAAGGGATATCGCGGTTGCTAGGCAGCAGTTAACAACTCCGGACAGCGTTGGTAGCAACACGGAACCAGACGACAATGGTCCGGAACGAGGCTACATAAGGAGCAGCGAAGGCTATTCACAGTTAGTCCTCTAGCTACCTCCGAGTTAGTTCCGAGCAAGCCTATGAATCAGAGTGTGTTATCAACAGTCCTCAAGGCAGCAGCCTGCGAGCAGAGTTGGAATCTAGCCAGCGGCGTGTTATATTTGGAGTGTGTAATTCAGCGAGACTTGTATAGCTCCCGCACTAGTAATACGTGAAGACTCTGGAAGATGGTGTTAACAGATTTTGTTGTAGGGTTTGTAAAGTGTGGAAACCCATAACATTGTGATAATTAATTGTAGCCGATATTTGTAGATTGTTCAGTAAACCAATTAACGATCTCTACGGCGTATTCAGTAACGAAACACGTTACAATATGATAATCTCACATGTTTTGCCACTGAAGACGCCGTTCGGATTGTTAATTGGTTTATTTAACAACCTACAAGTCTTGCTACAATTAATTATAACACTGTTGCAGGTTTACACAATTTACAAACCCTGCACACTGTTCTATTCACTCTATCCTCGGTAGTCTTCACGTGTTTATAACGCAGGAGCTATACCAGTGTCACTGTATTACACACTCCCAATATCTTCTCACGCTGTCACTTCTAATCACACGCTTCGGTATTCTTCTTTACGCTACAACTGAATTCAATGACTGTTCCAATTCAGCTGACTCCAGCGGCGGCTATATTTCGACTGACTCTTTAGGCAGTGTGGTTCTCTTATAAACCCTTAGCCAGACAACGGGAAACACCTTGCTTCCTTGTTGCCTAGTCGCCGTGTTTACAGGTGTTGCTGGGCAACGCTGTCAAGAGTTGTTTTCTGCTGCATAGCAACTGTGATATCCCTTGCTAACGTCACCGCAGGAAGGGGCAGGGTGTTGGCTGGCCTGTTACCGTAGCAGTGGCAATGCTCCGAAGATGTTACGTCACCGCTGCCGGGGGAGGGGGTGTCCTGCATAGTGCAAATACATCACAATAATTTGATTACTTGCAATATTAATTATGTTTGTAGGGCTAGAATGGTAGTCAGAATTTATTGTGCAGTTTGCATGTGTGCCTCCCCCTCCCCACATTTGTTTAATACACAGTTTGTTGTTTTTTTTTTTTTTTTGGAGGGTGGAGACACTTTAGAGGTTGCTTTAAAAGCAATTGCATGTTTATACACAGTTGTTTGAATTCTTTTACTGTCATAGACCAAGCAGTCCTGACCTTGCCCAGGCAGCCATAACAGGAATAACTGTTATGGGAGGAGAGGTGAAGGACTATGGGGTTGTGACCACACCCATGCTTCATTACTTTGTGGCAAGTATCAACACTGATGGTATATATGCTGAAGCAACAGAAGATGGTTACTTTAAAAAAATGACCACCGCATTCAAGAAACTCAGAGGAGATGTGAGTATTGTTAGCACTTTTTAATGTATTTACTATCATACTCTTTTCTCTTTTCTGTTCTTTTCTTAAGAGGTAGCTCTGAGTAATTGTTTTACATACAAGCACCATGGAGGCTGTTCTGTTCCGAAAGGAATTTCTTCATGTTTGCATGTCCATACTGTTGTTTGAGTTTGCAAAATGTATTAACCAGAAGTTTTCTTAAAGATTTAGTTAAAAAAATGCTTTAATATACGAGATACATTAGAGACCATTAGAAGTCATTTTTTAAATGACTGTACAATACATATTTTAAAAAATAATAACTGGAAATGTTTTTGTAACATTAGTTTTTCAAGTTAAGAATCTTCAGAAAATATGAGCATGATATCCTGAAAATTGTTATGTAATGTTTTATAAGTTCACTGTATCTTGATGTCAGGCCAGATTCATTCATTCATTCATTCATTTTATTTATTTTCCATAGATCCGTACTGTATATAACCAGGATGTGGAAATGGTCCTTAAAATACGTATCAAAATAATCTTCAAAATAATAAAATTGTATGAGTCCATTATTTGCAACAGTAGGTTAACATCAGTTTTGCAGGTTGCAGATAAGCAAACTTATTAAATCATAAAATCTGATGTAATAATAATAATAATAATAATAACAACAACAACAACAACAACAAATAAAATCTAATTAAAAAATGAATTAAATAACTTACTATAAAAACATAGTCACAATTTCATATAATCACTTAAATTACCAATTAGATGTCTTCCAGCGTCACACATTTATAACCAGTTCTATGATAAGTGTTTGTACAAGTCAGAGAGGTGTAACAGTCTCTTCATAGTCACTGCCATGAAAACCTCAAATCTTCAGTACATGTAAAAATTGTACCATCAGCAGCCATCTTTGTTATGACTATCAGTTAATGACAAACAGATCTGGGTTATTAAAATTTTATTCTAAATCTGAAGATCACATTAGTAAGATTAAATAAAATATGAGCCATAATAATTTTAGATAGGACAACTGCATATATAAATTGAAAATATATTACAAATAATTACTGAGCTAGCTCTGTTATAATTTACATAGTATTACCAGTTATGCTGATAGTATTCCTTCATAGAGTAAAAAGAGTGATAAAATAAGAATCTCTTCAATGCTGCTTTAAAGTTTAACAGATCAGAAGCCAACATTTTTATTGCTTGAGGTAGATGATTAAAGGCTTTAATGCCTGCTACATATGCAGGCCTAAAAATTCTGTCTCACATTGGTTAATTTAGTCTGATCGTAAGTAATTTGTATGGTAATATAATGATTCATGGAACAAAATTCAACATATTGAGATTTATTCAAATTCAAAGTGAGCAAATTAACATTAAACCATGAATTAATATCTTTAAAAGTTTGATTAGGGTTCATATCAAAGTCTAATTTGTTCGTGCCAGTTGCTATAATACTGGTGTCATCTGCAAATAATACCATGTTATTATTTTTATTTATTATTTTTGGTAAGTCATTTACATAAAACAGAAAAAAACTGTGGGCCAAGGATCTAGCCTTGAGGAACACCGCATATGATTAATTCCCAATCAGAAGAGTTGCTACAATCAGTTCTGTTCCCTATTACAACTCTTTGATATCTACCTGACAAGTAAGATTCAATGAGTGTTTATATTTCCCATCTATTCCATAGAATATTAACTTTTCCAATAATATTTTGTGATTAACACAATTAAATGCTTTCTGTAAATCACAGAAAATGCCTCCCACCAATAGTTTGTTATTCATCACAGATAAGTTGCTATCAATCAATGAAAAAGCTGCTTTCTCAGTCGAAGAATGTGGTCTAAAACCATACTGTTCTTGAACCAATAAATTATTTGTTTCAATATGTGTAATAAGTCCAGCATACATAAGTTTTTGAATTATCTTAGAAAAAGAAGTTAGCAGGGATATAGGCCTATAGTTAGATACATCATGAGTTATCCCTTTTAATTTGACTACGGCAAATTTAAATCTATCAGGGAAGATGCCGGTGTTAAGTGTTACATTACAAATATGAGTAAATTGGGAAATTATAAATGAAAGGCTTAGTTCTTAGTTTTAATATTTTATTGGAGATTTCATCGTATCCACTCGAATTTTTAGTCTTTAGTGTCTTAATAATTTTTGTAATTTCCGCGTTCTGATGTTTAATACTCACTGTGCTGTGAGTATTAAACATTATAATACCACACGTAACAAATAAAATTCAGAACGCGGTATTAATGAATAAGAATTTCACGTTACAGATACACACATGAAAGTAGGAAGAATACTCCGATAGAAGAAGACAGGTGTGACTCGCGTACTGAGATACGACATAAGGATGACAAATCTAGAACAGTTTTAATATTTAAATTTATCATTATATATGATGAATATATATTTTAGTTATTTTAGTATAAGGACAACAGGGCATGCAATGAAGTAGTTCGACGTACATAGAAAAGCACCTGAAGATGGCATTTTGGTGCTGAAACATGTAGTGCAAGAGAGAAGAGTAAGGTGAATAAATGTATGCACTGTAAGACGGTCAGAATAAATCATGGAAATTCTAATCCTTTAGGAATTTGGGCAAAATAATTTCGAGAATGATGTATTTAATGATGTGACTTATTCAAGTGTTACTGTTGTAGCAATTATGAATGCTAAATAGAATGAATGAATGAATGAATTAATTACTTTATTGGTGCTGAATATCAAAGGCAAGGGCTAGATACCCAAAACAGGGCTTGTTTAGTTATGAAAATGCATATTTTGACCTACTTTTCTTATTTTGTAAGGAAGGAATGGCTTACAGTATCATCATGTATGTATGTTTGTTCTCCTGTAATAACTTTTATCCCAGATAACAGATTTTAATGAAAAGTTGTTTGAACATCTTGTTGCTAAATTCCAGCCCACTGTTGCACATTTTAATTTCTTGTTATCGATAATACCAACATAGTGGCCATTCAAATTTGTGATGTGGTCATGACATTAGCACAAATTAATGTAGGGCTTAACACTTTCTGTGTTGATAGATGCTTTCAGTTTCATCAGAATAATAAGCCAAATTTTGAAAATGTGTGACATATTGGGTAGCATTATATTTTTTATTCACTTTAATCAATACTTTTTGGGAACAGTTTATGTGATAAATATTCTGAATTAAAAGGTAATGAGAAGTAAGTGTTATCTTTATATTTGTTGTGCTTTATTCCAAGCAGATCATATAATTATTTTTAAAGTTATATAATCCTTTAAAATTTCGAAAACCTTCTACTATAAGAAAACTTTTACTTCAAATTATCTTTTAATTGTTGAACAGTCACTGAATTTACAAATTTGTTGCATAAACTTAAATTTGGAGAATATAATCTTGTTCTAGGTGTCTTTGGTTGAAACAGAATAAAAGCTGAGGCAGTGTTATATTCACTTTTTTTTATTTGTAAACAACACAGCAGGCCACAAATAAACATGGAAATACTAAGGATCTCCTTTCGCAAGATAAACAGGCGGCACAGGACCAGCCACCTCTACGAATAACAATAGGAGAATTGATGTGAACCTGTATGGTTCATAAATTTTAAGCTTGATCTTGAAAGTTCTTTTTAAACAATTTTTTTTTTAAAGTTTTAACACCAAGAAGGCTGATGTGAATGTGGAAGGTTGAACATTGCGTATATTGTGCATTTTAGACATGTGTATCCATACAATTAACATCTATTGTAATAGTAGTTTCCAAAAGTATTGATACCCTCTGAGGATGATCCATAAGGATCGAAACATGTAAGGGAGATAAATCCTCAAGTGATAAAACTTAAATACTCACATTAGATGGTATTATTTTTGCCTTTGTCATATTCACTGCTTACATTTTTTATGCTGTCGGTTGTATGCATATCATATTTTCTTTTCCAGAAGCCAAGCAATGGTAATTACGTACCAAGTATTTTGTTTGATGGAGCTAATGGTGTTGGAGCACTGAAAATGAAAGTTTGTTTATCATACCTGGGTGATTCTCTACAGGTGCAACTTTACAATGACGGAAATGGAAAGCTGAATCATTTGGTGAGTAATGAGGATGCACTAATAGAAACTGTTGTTTTGCATCCAAAGAAATCGGGAACATTTGAAATTGAATGGACCACAACAGTTTCTTGACTGCTATGATGTTAATTTATTGGGTGAAAACATCAGTACCATAAAGAAGAACACTGCCCTGTACTAGCATGAAGTTTGGTTTAGCAATAGACACAGAGAAAACTGAGTACATAGTCATGTGTGATCACTGGAATTACATATGAAGATAAACAGATTCTTTGAAAATGTGTAAAGATTCAAATATTTGGGAACCCTCGTAACAAATTAAAATTATGTCCACAAAGAGTTAACAGACACTTTGAAAATGTGTAAAGATTCAAATATTTGGGAACCCTCATAACAAATTAAAATTATGTTCACAAAGAGTTTAAGAGCAGATTGGAAATAGTAGTTGACACCACTCAATTCAAATACTTTTGTCTTCATATGCCACTTGTAAAGATGTAGTTTTATATACTGTTTTTTGTGAGTGTAAAACTTGCTCTCTTCCATACAGGTTAGTCTACTATTACACACTAGGCCTGTTTTTGAAAGGTACTCATTTCGATTCTGGGATTGGGACATTCAGCTGTCATAAGTTAAGTAAAGTGTGGCTTTTTTCAGTCCTTACAGGCAAATACCAGGATTATGCCATGATTAGGCCACAACTGCTACCTTCCCTTCCAATTTGTCTTACCATTCAACCCTATATTGTCTAGATAGTGACAGTGCTTAAGCATGAAGCAAACAAAAAAGGGTAGGAAGTGCTGAGACTTGGATTGCGTTGGAGCATGGTTCAAAATGATGCACAAGCAGTTGCCACTAATCTTAACCCTTTCCCGTAAAATGTCAATATATAATCGACATGTTGACTGTGCTTCCATGTACAAATGTCGATACATGTTCGACAAAGTTTGTTTTGAGTTTCTGCAATCATATTTTGATCATACATTACTAGTTGGCGCTGTAGACTATACAAATGCATGCATGAATGTTTTGTCTGCCTCCTCCTGCAATCTGGAATTCATTTAAGAATATTTCTTTCATTGATGGACAGACTAGGACTCAATGTGTCTGGTATTGAAGACTGCCACAATTTCACTGACAGATATTATAACAGTGTTGAGTTGGCCCAAGAATTGGACAGTGGAAAATGTAAGTACACATTTTGCTTTTTAAATTATGCCCTTGTTGCGCCAACTTTTCAGGTGAAACTCTTCACTTAGTGCCTCAGCAGGCATTTAAAAACCCCTCTCATCCTGGCTGTGAATATTTTTCCAAACGTACCAACCGGAAAGGGTTAAAATTATAAAGCAATAAAAAACTTCTTTTGGTATCATGACATCCAGTCATCTGAAGGCAAGAGTATATGTACTTCCAAAGTGTCAGGTATGTTACATGTCATATAATAGACAATGCCCAACATGATTGTAGTGTAATAGCTGGTTTGTAAGTTATTAAGATTATTAACCTTTTTTCTATCCTAGCAGTGTTGTCCAGTTTTTGAACATCAGGTATATGCCTCCATCATGTACCATGTTTCGTATGATATGCTTGGAAATCTGAGTATGATATTTTTATTTCTTCACAGTTTCAAAATATGTAAAATGAACTGTGGGTTTGTCACTGTACTCCTCTTGCAGTGTGGTGCAGACTATGTAAAAGTGCAACAGTGTGCACCACATGGAGTTCCACGAATCACTAATGCTCGATGTGTGTCTGTGGATGGAGATGCAGACCGAATCGTTTATTATTACACTGACGAATGTGACAAGCTCCATTTGCTGGATGGGGACAGAATTGCAACCCTGGGTGAGTTACTTCCTTCTGATTACACTTCAACAATTTCTGGTACAGCTGGTCATTGCAAATTGGAGTAAGAATAACACATACATCTGCATTTAATATTGAAGAAGGGAGAGTGAAACCTAATGCATCATAGTGCACATAGCACTGTGCTTTCAGTTACTTTATGGCGAAGAAGATATTAGTCAACTAAAATTGCTACTGTAACTTTGTTGGAAGTTTCATTTGGATTTTGTGTAGGACTCTCAAATAGAAGTGATTGGTTTTTAATTTGATAGTAATAATTATGGTGCTGATGATAGGGAGTAAGTAATAGCAACAGCAGTATTCAAAGCAGATCTGCATTCTACTAAACAAGTCACTATAAATTTTAAGTGCTAGTATCCTGTTACAATGAACTTTACGTTAGTTAATTAGTGTGTTAGTTAATTTGTTTGCTTGTTATTTAATGATGCTCTCAGTATCAAAACTATAGAGCATCGATGATAGGATAATTAATGAATATGGAGCAGTTGGTGGAGTGAGGCATGGACAACTGAAGTGCTTGAAGAAATTTTTCCCTGTGCCACTTTGCCCATTACAAATCCCATATGATCTTACCTGTGTTCAAATCTGGGCCACTACAATGGGAGGCTGGCAGCTAACAACCTGAGCTATGGCATGGCCCTATTACAATGAAGATGCTCATAGTTGTGTTCTATATAGACTCATATCAACCTGTTTCTGCTGATTCCAATGAACTTGAACGCATCCAGCAGACGTTTGCAGCCTTTTGTTTTAAGTGTTACTTTCTCCATGTCCATTAGTGTTATGCTTGTGCTTTAGAGCCTGTAAAATAGTAAGGGGAGGTACCATCTCAGTGTATTGTTCCTTTTACAAGTTTACCTTGTCCTTCTCTTTTGGAAGCTGTGGTCTTCAAGTTTCTGACCAGTGTATCAGAGATTTTTCCTTTGTTAAATACCTGCTACTCAAGGAGAAGTTGTCCCTCTGCTAGATGTGCTTCAGTTGATAATATTGTTTGCAAGGACTTTGGCGTGTTTGGTAACAAAGCTGTTCTTAATCATATTTTATAGTGGTACTTTCTTCTTATTAAAATATTAATTGCATTCACTATGAAGGTATGTGTATATTTTTTCTCACCACATCATGGCTGGTGCAATTGTACTTACTGAATCTTTATTATTGTCTGAATGACACAAGTTATTTTATTTTGTCTTTTGTGTTTGTTTCCATCCTTGATCATGCTTATTTTACAACTAGCCTTTAGGCTGTGGAGTAAGCATGTAATTGAATGAAGATCTTAATTGAATTAGTGATGATGATGATGATGATGACGACAATAGTGACAACAGTTTTGATGAAGGGTAGCAAGGAAAAGGTGGAACCCTTATTCAGTACCACAAATTATGTTGTTTTTTTTTTAAGTAAACTGTATCATTTTCATTGCTATAACATGGCACTGTAAGATCTTACCATGCTGTTGCTTGACAAACCCGTAAATAGAATGAAGATGTTGCAGTATAAAAGTTAAAACTTTTTTTGTACTTAACCAGTTGACAGTTAGGGTTAGTAAAAATAGTATGCTCTTGTGAACGTCATTTTTACTGTTAAATATTATGGAATAAGCTGGAATAATGGAGCCAGAAGAAATTGTCTGCTGCTAGGTAATGGCTCAATACACAAGTTTCTGTGATGGTGAACACGTGATGCTACAGTGGAGGAGTTATTGGAAGTGGTGTTTTCTATGCGGTCTGTGCTGAGGCTAAATAGTGGGAACCATTCAGATGATGGGTCACCCGTGTGCAGGCGGGGTTGAATACCTCCACCGTGGCCCTGTGAGTTGTAGGAGGCGACAAAAAGGAAGTCTCAGCTCTGAGACAGTAAAATATGATCGCGAGTCCTGAGGGACTTGGACAGAGAAAGACTGCGCTGGCAATGGCCAGCAGCACATACAAAAGACAGGCCCATCCTCTCATCAGAGAGGGCGCGCCACAGAGACGAGACTGTAAGTGTCAGACAGTAATAAATATGTGGTCATGAGCCCCAGATGGTTCTCGACACCAAGACTTACTGACTGACCGTCAGTCGCAATGTGACTTTGACTTTGACATAATGAGTAGTCACCATGAATTAGTTTTAAGATGATAGCCAGCTGGCAATGCTGTAAGTATGAGAGCAGAAGAATCTCCATTGTTGGGAACTGTAACTGATGTACAACTAGCGAAGTCTATAACAGACAGAGACATCATGTGCTGTAGTGATTTGTTAAGTGTGTAGATTAGCGGTAGCACTGTAAGTATTTGTAGTTGTGAGTTACAAGTGTCCAGTAAATCCAGTTTTTTTTATTGCTAGTGGGTAGGGACTAAGTCCCTTGTACTGCGGCCACTTCTGGTCTATTGTACCAGCCCCAGATGATAGGTGAGGGTGATTGTGGAGCAATTGGTGGAATGAAGATTGGCAGGGGAAACTGAAGTACGTGGAGAAAACCTGCCCCAGAGCCACTTTGTCCATCACAAATCCCACTTGACCAGACTCGAACCGGGCCGCCGCAGTGGGAAGCCAGCGACTAACCGCTTGAGCTATGGCTCGGCCATTTACCCCCGTATCTAGTCACTAATATGTGACAATATTATTTAAAAAAATTACTAATTTAATGACTGCTGTAATGCATTTATGGAGAAATTCTGAAACGATAGGGTTCCATCCAGGTCATTAATTCGTCAAATTCTGCATCAGTTCAGAAAGTTTCTTGTACCAGAAGATGAAAGTTTTTAATTTAGATGTATTGAGTGTAAAATTATGCTCCATCTAATTTGTTCCTATAATAACAGTTAAGGCGATGATAATCTTTGTAATAACAGTGTTAATGATGAAAGTTGAAGTAAACTTGTCTCTGCCCTAAGTTAAGCACTGTGCCATGAAGGCATATGAGGTACTAGAGGTATAGTATGATAATGGTAAAAGTTTGAGTAAAGTTGTCCCTGTGCTTAAATAAGCACCATTCCATGAAGACATGAGGGAGTGGAGGTATAGCACCATGCATTCTTAACCTTGGCATTAGGTAGAGTGCCCTGGCACTCATCCACCAGGGGAAGAACCCAGATACCCACAGAATAGGAGGCTTAGTGGACCACAGAGTTAGTCTGGATGCTGTAGAATAGAGCAAAATCTCTATGTCTGCCAGGATTTAAATGATTTGGGGGTCATGCAGCCTATAGCCTAGTCACTATACTGACTGAATTCCCCTGGATCTTGATAATGATGACCGTCTAAAAGAAACTGCATTTTCCTGTATATAGAGTTCTCTTGTTCAGTGCTGCACTTATGTTGCTTTAAATTCTCTTTTGATGTCATATGTGGTTCTGTTTGGTGAGGTATGCAAACCTAGATTTAGAATTTGGATGATAAGATATGTCTTTGTGGTGTGTCTGTGTTAAGGAAGTTGGCATATAGTTTATTTATGGTGAATTGAAAGAGTTAGGTACAGGAGCTGAAAGTCTGCGCAGAAAATGGAGTTTGCATCTTCATTCTGTCTGATTTGCCAAATCATGCACCTTGTCAAGCAGTATGCAGTGCCTGAAGGAGAATTTAACTCCATATTTGTTGTTGATAATATGCAATTTCACACCGCCTTTGTGGTCTAGTGGTCAGAGTTCCAGCTACAGATCCAGAGGTCCTGGGTTCGATTCCCGGCACAACCAGATTTTCTGAGAAGGAGTGGATCTGAAACGGGGTCCACTCAGCCTCGTGAGGATAAATGAGGAGGTATTTCAAGGAAGTAGTGGCTCCGGTCTAGAAAACCGAGATTAACGGCCATGGAGATCCGTTGTGCTGACCACACGACACCCTCTATCCGAAAAAGTTGCCACTAACTTTGCCGACAAGTGGCAGTCTGTCGGTCGGTACAGTTCACTTGCGGACCAAAGCTACGGAGCTCAAAATATGCAATTTCATTTTCTAAATGTCTGTGACAGTGGATAATGCATAGTCCCCCCCCCTATGAAGGTATTTATTTTCTGTGTGTTATGTGGTAATGGCACTTCAGTTTCATTTTCGTCAGGAACATTTTAAGTTCTCTAAATGACCCAATGAACTGACAATGTCTATGAAATAAGTGAATTTTCTATCCTTACCTTTATAAGGACATAGCAGAGGACTTCAGACATGCACACTGAAAGCATTGACACATATAAGAAGCATATGAAATATATTACAAGACTTTGTATGTATACCATATCCACTTCCCAATAAGTAAACTATTTGCTGTTATGTGG